TGTCAGCCAAGCTTGTAGGTATGAAGAGACGATACTATCGTGAGCGACGGATACTGCTAGTACTACAAGAATTCGTAGAATTCGGCGCAAGGAAATTGAGTGTGAAACAACACGAAGCAGCGACCGAGAAATACTGCCGGAGCACCTGATTACCTACTCGACTACGCGATGATGAAGGGCCAAGCTCAGAAGGAAGACGGCGCTCGGGTGGGCGAGGAAGGATGAATGGATCGGGAGGAGACAGCGGCCATAATTAACTCATGAGCAGGAGATTATCGCCTGAGATAGAATAAAAGCTCGAGAAATGAGTGCGAGGCGTCGCGAAATCCGATGCGTTGCTTGAAGCTCGCATGTGCGGATGGTCGGGATTTGGGAACGGGACGCGGGGGTGAGGGTGCGCGGAGGGAGATGTCTGCATAGATGGGGGGAAGTACACCTGGCCTGCGTTATTTTCGACGCTGGTATTTTCAACGGTTCTCTTTGCAGGGAGCTGTCACCCTCGCGAAGCATCACCAAAGAGGCCGGTTGAGAGACCCCTGGAAAAAGCGACGACCTTCGTTTTCTAGACGACCGATGTTTACAATGTTAGATCCCGCATTTTGGAACTGTCGTCGTGAAGGTATCGGATTCAAACCGTCTACTGGCTCGTGCCTTTATGGGGTGTCCGAAGTAGGAGTGTAACGTTTCGGGACATCGCGGAACCAGGAGATCACTATATTCAAACATCAAATATAAACTACCGTACCGTGCATTCTCGTGACGTCCTTGGACGTCACAAATTCTAGTACTTCAGAAATCCCCTTAAGAACACGGAAGTGCTCTATGATGACCCAGAAACGGTCAGGGTGCTAAAAAACTGTTGCTGCCGCCCCAATTTCACCCAATTTCACCCTCCGCGGGGCAAGTGCAGGGGGAGGGGGAGGGAGGATGAAATGGAGAACAGAAGGCACGGGACGAGCAGAGCAGATCGGAAGCGGGGCGAGCGAGGACCAAACCACAGCGGCTCCGCGTATGTGACGCGTCGACTGCTGGCTCGGCTTGGCTGGGCAAGAAGCGGAGGAGGTGGGGGGAGGTCGGGTCACGCATGCGCAGTTGCCTCCCTCAGCCTACTGATGTGTGACGCGTTTTGGTCATAACTCTCGGGCATTTTACATTCAAGTCTGGAAAAAGCCTGGGTAAGTGAGCCGAGTACGTGGGTATTTTTGGGGCGAAGCTAGTCAAAGCTAGGCGACAGGTGGGTGACAGACAGCAGAGGCGAGGCAACGAGATGGACTCCCCCGAACCTACGGGGGGCAAACTTTCTGCGAAGGTTTGGTTGGAGGCATGGCGGAAAGCCACACCGCACGGACGCATTCAATTGGGCTTGTTTCCTTGCATTCTGCAGCAGGGCACTCGTCGCTAGGCGACGGAATCGGTCCCAGAATTACCCGTCAACGGACGGGATCTACGGGAAATTACCCGTTAGCATACGGATTCCTCAACGAGGTTCTCTTTGTGACAAATAGACTTCGCCACGGATAAGGGAGAGCCCTGGAACCTCCGGGAACTGAGGCGTACTATGAATAGGGCCGTCGGGAGAAGGAAAGAACTCCCCGCTTACCTACCTACGAAACAACAGTCAGGGAAGAAACTGCTCTCTTAGTGGCGAAAGTGGCGGGAGTAGGGGACAGTGGTTTGCGGTGGGGATAATATAGCACCGTGGACACCGCAATTGCACTTCGTAAGGAACCAACGGAAAGTAACCTGTGGTATCCAGTAATCATACGTGAGTAATTCTGTTAGGTGGACGTAATCGGGAAAAGTTTACTGCGCAAAAGATGAAATTAATCCAGAAAACTCCTTCTCGTTAAGGGCGAATACCCTGTCAGATAGAGCCCTCCACTGAAGGCCTCAAGTTCATCATGCCGACATGGTTTGGGTAAGATTATAGCGGTGCTCTTTCGTTGGTTGGTGGGATGGTGGCTGCCTGTCCAGTTCACGTGACCCTGGGTTGTGGAGAGGAACTAGAAAATGGGCACAGCTCAGAAAACTACAGTTTCTGTTCACAGAAGTCGCAGCTGTCACATTGGATTTGAGAATGTGACGCTAAGAATCCTCTTGGGGTGACAAATCTAATGTACACACTAAGTGAAGTGGGAACTGCAGAACGAAGTGTTTGGAACAAGGAATTAACGGGGATACAGCGGGAGGTTTCGCTGAACAAAAACATCATCACAAACCACGCTGACCTCGGGACAGGAATGGGGGATGGGATCATGTGATGCGTCTCTTCTTCGCCCTCTCTGCCCTTGGGCAACGCAGAGCAGCGCATGGAGCAGTTTGCATGGAGGAGGATGGGTGGGTGGGTGACGTGAAGTCAAGTTGTCGTCTGTCCACACGCAAGGTGATTGGTTGAACATTTAATATTTACGCCAGCGAAGCAGCGTCATCATTCACGCGGCCATATTTGTCCGCATCGTTCTCGTCAGCGCATTAGGGTTGATGGAAACATCGGTCATATTTGCGGCTACACCTTGAGCCTGACAAAAGAACACAACTTTTCAGGGTGCCGTTAAACAAAAACGCGCACGGATTTCGCACAGCATCGTCACGGGCATGTGGGCCTTTCGCACGGGCACGAAGGTTACCATTTTGATGTTTTGCGGGGTAGGTTTGAGTGGCATATTTTGGCGAGCCATTGTTCACTTAGTTACCCTGTGTTAAGTTTCGGCGCTTTCAATCGAGAGTGAGTTTCTCTGGTGTAGCACCAGAGTGGTGGTGGGCGGGTGAGATGTTGAGTGAGTTTTTCTGGTTTGGTTTGCTCCCTTTTATAGTCAGTAAAATAGGGCGAGGGTTTGGAGTCGCATTTCAGTTCCAAACGTTACGGGCGTGTTCTAAACATTTCTTACATTACGAATTGAACATTCGTGTCGCAACAATAACTGTTGAGTGGATTGTGAGAATTTGATTTCGAGTTTGTTGAGGACATCGCGACTCCATTTCGTTGCCAAGTCAGCGTTCGGTTTCATGCGGTGACGCTCAAGCCACAAACAAACCCAGCGAGGCGTGTGTACTTTTGCGAGCTCAACGAAAGGCTCGCTGCACTTCGTCGGAGCGCTATTTCGAGCGCGGCTGGAATTTTGTGGCGAAAATGGTTGCGGCGCACATTTTTCGTCTTGTGCCGCATGTTTGTCACCGCTGTCATGATCACGCTGCACTGTTGGCTCTGTTCACGGCCCACGTTCAGTGGGCCGTTGCCCGTGTGACAACGCTAATGAGCGATGCTTTTTGATTGGGCCACGTATTGGGCTGGGCCTCCGGTGCGCACCATGTGTAGGTTGGAACATACGCTAGCTAGTACAGTACTTCATAGAGGCACGGATATCCGGGCTCTTCAACTAAGCTTAAGTACACTTTTCTTATCGGATCACGTAACGGACCCCTGTTTTGCACTACAGTATAAGGATTTACAGAAAGTGTTTTGTGACCAGGCCTCTTGCTAACAAGGTAATCACCTTTAATGTAGAGAAATTAAGAGTAACTTTTCAAGTGATTCCGTTTTTTCACAGTGCGTTTTTTTCCCGAATCCGTCCAGCTTACGGAAACAATTTCGCGCGATTCCTTAGCCTAACGAGTAACATTTTTTCGAGTCCGTACGGGCTATACTTATAGCAGGGCAATCTGTAGGACGGATATACTTACCCCCCCCGCCCCCCGCCCCACAACCACACCCAACCCCCACCCCCCCCCCCCCCCACCCCCCCCCCACCCCCCTCTTTGATCACTTGCTTGCCGAATTTGTAGCGGCCGATTCCTTTCGGTAACGGGTTTTTTTGGAGGAATTCCGTCTGTTAACGGGTAATCCTGAGGCGATTCCGTCCCCTTCTGGAATACCCTGGTGCTTAGCGGGAGGCCTATTTATGACCCACGGCACTTCACTACACTTATTCCACCGAATAGTCCGAAGCGAAACACTCCAATTTTCCGTTGCACTCCATATAACCATATATCCCACAATATTTCAACGACGTTATAATCAAGTATACGAGAAACAGTAATGGAACATTCAAAGAAGATTTGTGCAATCTGCCTCTCAGAAAATTTAGGATCCTGTGGTGGCCTAACGGTCGTTGTACCGCTACAGATGAGAGAGGGTTCAGGTTCGACCCAGCGTGTAGGTGTATTTGCCAATTCCTTAGAGAATGGCTCGCATCATGTGGATATCCCACCCTCATTGAACCAAAGAGGGGTGTAAACAATTGGGCTGGCGGATTATGATCGACAGCCAGAGGTAATTCCCAAGAGGAGTCCCCTCCCACCTTTACGTTTACCCTTACCTTTACTTCATAACATTTACAACCAATCACGACACACATCCAGATTCACAATGCATGAGAAATGCGGCTCTGCAAAGTTAGAAATCACGATAAACATCTTCTCGCTATCGAATCCGGTGCATGAACGCCACGAATCAAAGCAACATCAGTGTTCGCCGTTGAGCACCTGACACGTCTGCATAGGTGCACTGCGTCAGGAAAACCCTTGCCACTCGAATTTTCTCACATGCGTCCAGGGCACTGTTCGCTTCCACTATACAATCAGGTTTTGCCTGGCAAAATAGCCTTCCAGGTTACATTTCTTGGCGGCTTAGTCAGTGAGGTAAAGTGTAACTTAGAACAGGTGTACAGATCTGTAGCCCCGATCTTTGATACGCGAGGGAAATCGGATACGATGCGCTCGCGTGCAAACTCAATGAGAAATCAGATCAGCTGCCCCAACCAAACCAACCTGCTTCCTGTCTTTACCGAGTGTAGAAGAGTTTTGCTCAACCCAGAAAAGGCATCAGTGACCGCAGCGGCTCGTGCTCGGTATAGCTAATCCAACACAGCCTTAGTTCCAAATGCTCCACATCAGTGTACCACATTTGGCCACTTTACAACGCATAGCACCTCCATGGCATGCACACTAGAGTGCTAGGATAGCGAAATAGCACAAATGATCGCAGCCACGGGGGTTATTCACGACAGAGTAATGCTAGTTCACAACAACAGCCTTTAACATTCAGTGGATCAACCATACTCTCTAAAAAAGCCGCACTTTGTCCATGCCATACACATATGGATCCATATGAGCACAATTAGAAGGATGAGGAATCTGGTACTCAGCACGGTACTCAGCAGTGCAAAATTTGATATCGTGGTACAGCACGGTACGACACAGATTTGATCACAAGCTCACATACAGGCACGCAAAGGAATACTCCCTTGTTATTGCCCTTGTTTAGAACGCTTGCAATCAATGAAGGATTGTTGCCAGTGACGTTTTTTGTCGCTCACCCCGAGTTTCCTTGACATCGGGCTCACCCGCTCTGCTGCTACCAATCCCACCCCTCCTCCCTCCCGCTCCCCCTTCTCCACCTGTTCTTGATCCTCCTGCTACTACAGCAGCTGCTCCTGCGGTTGCTCCTGTTGCTACTCCTGCGGCTGCTCCTGCCATTGCCCCTGCCGTTGCTCCTGCTGCTGCTCCGCTTCCCCTTGCTGCAGCCCCTGCTGCAGTAACTGCTCTATCCCTACTAACACTAGGATCCCAACCCCTATGCCCTCCCCCTGTGCTGCTGCTGCTACTTCCAGGCAGTGTGTCTTTACCACCACTACTGCACTGGGTAATCGTCCGAACCTGCACCACTGAGTTGAAGGACACTCGCCGCTTGTGCCCAGGCTGGGAGGCAGGCTCGGGACAAGCCCTGGGAACAGGCTGGGAGGCAGCCCTGACGAACCTGGCTTCGAGGTTCGGGGGTGCTCCGGGGACGTCTTGGGAGGTGGAAGTTGAGGTAGAGTCGGGAGGAAAGGGGGGATGGTGAAACTGCTGTAGGGCTGTAAGGGGAGAGATGGGTGCTTGTGTGCGTTCTCCTCATTCTCCCACTGCTCCTGCTGATTCCGCTGCCACTGCTGCTGCTGCTGCTGCTGCTGCTGCTGCTGCTGCTGTTGCTGCTGTTGCTGCTGCATTCTCTTCCTTGTCCCCTTGCCTGCTCTCCCCTTCTGCCCCTCCTCCCCCTCCCCCTCCCCCTCAAGCTCTAGTAAGCTGGGCAGGCGGGGACTGCGCACTTCTCCCCACGGCTCATCATACGCCCACTGCTTTGCCGATCTGGCAACTGCCGATCGCTCGCGGGGGGACGCTAAGGCTCTGGATGACTGTTGAGTCGAGTCACTAGGCAGGCGGGGGCTGTTCACCTCTCCGGACTGCTCATCATGCTCCCACTGCTTTGCCGTCCTGGCCACCACTGATCGCACACGAGGGGAGGTCAGGGCTCTGACCACCAGACTGTTATGGATGCTGGCAATGTCAACGCTGCTGCTGGTAACGTTGTTACGCATGCTGCCGCTGGTAACGTTGTTGCGCTTGCTGCCACTCGTGCTGGTGCTGCTGTTGCTGGTGCTGGTGCTGGTGCTGCGGCTGTGACATGCGTTGGCACTGGCACAGTGAGTAGCAGGAGCAGATGGGACAATGCTCACTGTCCCACTAGACACCTCCGTTTCGCATGCTGCAGCAAACGCAAGAGCAGCAGGAGCAGGAGCAGCATACAGGTCATCAAAACGGCTGGCAGCCAAGTCATGGGAAACCGTTTGCAACGCACCCAAGTCAAGGGAGCTCCTTTGAGACGCGCCCGAGTCAAGGGAGCTCCTTTGAGACACGCCCGAGTCAAGGGAGCTCCTTTGAGATGCGCCCAAGTCAAGGGAGCTCCTTGAGATGCCCCCAAGTCAGGGAGCTCCTTTGAGATGCGCCCAAGTCAAGGGAGCTCCTTTGAGATGCGCCCAAGTCATGGGTCCTCACCTGCAACGCACCTACGTCGAGGGAGCCCCTTTTAGACGCACCTGTAGATGCGGCCTTGCGGAGAACACGGGGGCGCGGTTGGAGAGTAGGAGAGGGACGGTCCAGTGGGAGATGGCTCCCAGCAGCAGCCGGGGAGTGACCGGCAGGAGCAGAGGCGAGGGTAGTCGGCGCAGAGGAGAGGGCAGTAGGCGCAGACGAGCAGACGGTAGGGGAAGAATCATGGACCATGGAAGCAGGAGGAGGAGGAGCAGCATACAGGTCAGCAAAGTTGCCGGCAACGGCAGGAGGAGGATGAGTAGTGGCAGTTACTGTGCTGACTGCAGCAGCAGCACGAGCAGTAGCAGTAGTTGTGAGGGAGGCCTCTTTCCTATCAGCAGTAGGTGTGAGAAGGGGCCCATTCCGAACAGTAGCAGGTGTGGCAGGTGTGACAGTAGCATGATCGTATAGAAGCTCGGCTCTCAAGAGACCCTTTCCTTCAGCACCCACTTCGGCACGCCATCTCTCTCTCAAAGCCCCTTCCCACTCCCCGTCCGTACGGTCCGCACACTCTTCCTCATTCCACTCCTCTTCTCCCCATCCCCCCACTTCTTCCCATCCCCCCTCCTCTTCCCACACGCCCTCCTCTCCCCATTCCCCCCCGCCTCTCCCCACTCCCCCTCCTCTTCCCCCTCCCCCTGCTGTCCCTCCTCTGTCCACTCTTCCCCTTCATCCCACTTCCCCTCCCCATCCGGAGCATGCATATGAACAGTCAGACCTGGGTGAGTCAAAGACGGATGACCCAGGGAGGGACGAGCCAGGGACGGATGACCCAGGGAGGGACGAGCCAGGGACGGATGAGCCCGAGAGGGATGATCCTCTTGTGCTTGTACAGCTGCCCCCCTCACTGGATCGTAGCACATGTCTCCTCTCCCACCGCTCCGATCTGCCGTGGCGTTTCTTTCATCTCCTGCAGGCACTTCTCCCACACAAGAAACGCCATCAGATCGCGATTTCCGCGCTCTCAACGAATCTCCGGTCAGTGACCGCCGAAGCACCAGCTCTCGTCCCCCATGCTCCTCCCCCCCCCCCCCTCCTCCCTGCTCCTCCACACATCCCCATCTCTCCTCTCCTCGCCTCGTCCGTTCCTCTAAGTCTGCCCATCCGCCCTTCTCCTGCTCTCCTAAGCCACACCCCCCCTCCGCTCCGCCTATTCTCCTGTCTCCCCCTGCTCTAATTCTTACCCTCTCTCCTCCTCTTTCTCCCCTTCCTCCTCTTCCTCCTCCTCCTCCCTCCCCTCCCCCTCCTCCTCCCCCTCCTCCTCCTCCTCCTCCTCTTCCACCTCTTCCTCTCCCCACTTCTGCACCACCCCGCAACCCTCTAACAGTAGCAGCAGCAGCGGCAGCAGCAGCAGCAGCAGCAGCAGCAGCACCTCCATGCTCCTTCCCTCTGTTTCTCCCCACACCTCTCCCTCCTCCCACCTCTGCCCCTCCCCCTACCACTCCCTCCTCCTCCCCTTCCTCGTCCATTCACTTCCATCCCCTCTCTTCCCTCCCTCCCTCCCTCTTGCGCTCTTCCCTCCCTCCCTCCCTCTTGCACTCTTCCCTCTGCTCTCCCCCCTCTCCCCTCCTCCCCCCTCCTCCCTTCCCTTCTCTCAACCGGCTCACTCAAAGCTCGTGTAATTTTCCTCCTCTCACCCCCACAAACCTCCCCTCCTCTTCCTCTTCCTCCTCCCCTTCCTCTCTCCCCTCCTCTCCCTCGTCCTCGCATCATTCCTCCTCCCCCTCTCCTCTAAACCCTCTTCCTACTCCCCCCTCTCCTCTACCCTCTCTCCCTACTCGTCCTGCTCCTGCCCCTGTCAACCCATCCTCTCCCCTCCTCTTCTCCACTACACCAGCAGAAGCCGGCCTTCCGGCTTTAAGTGTCACTCTTAGGCTCTCCGCTCGTCCTACCTCAATTGCCCTGCGCCCACCCCCTTTTTCCATACCACCACCAGCAGAAGACGGCCTTCCGCTTTTAAGTGTAACTCTTAGGCCCTCCGTTCGTCCTAGCTCATTTGCCCGACTCCCACTCCCAGCAGCAGTAGCAGGCCTTTCACTTTTAAAAGTCACTCTTAGAATCTCTGCTCGCCCAAGCTCGTTTGCCCTATCCCCACCCCCATTTTCCATCACACCAGCAGCAGTGGCAGGCCGTCCGCTTTTAAGCGCCACTCTTAAGCTCTCCGCTCTTCCTAGCTTGTTAGCTCTACTCCCGCTCCCTGCAGCAGGCCTGTCACTTTTAAGCATCACTCTTAAGCTCTCCGCCCTAGCAAGCACCTCCGCTTTACTCACGCCCTCCTTAGTAGCGGTGGCGGGCCTTTCGCCCCTAAGCATCACTCTTAAACTCTCTGCTCGTGCAAGCACCTGCGCTCTACTCACGTTACCCACACCAGGGCCCCCCATTTTAGTCACTCCCCTGTCTCCCCTCGTCTCTTCTCGTCCTCCCCCCTCCGACCCTCCCCGTTCCCTCCTCATTTCAACCTCCCCACTGCTGCCCCTCCTTTGGAGCCTCCTGCTCCCTCCCCTCTCCCCCTCCTCCCCCTCCGCTCCCTTCTCTCCCCTCCTTATCCCCCCTGCCCTCCCTCCCCTCTCTCCTGTACCGTCCCCAACGCCAGTCCATCCCACCTCTCGCGCACTACCCTCGTGAATGGACGGTGCCCTTCTGCGGCTGCCTGCTGTGTTTGCCCTTCGCAGCACTCGACCTTCGCTTCCCCTCCCTGCCCCTGCTTTTCCTCCTCCCCCCCCCTCCCCCTCCCCCTCCCCCTCCCCTCTTCCCCTTCGTTTGCCGCCTCTCCCCTTCTCTTTCTTCCCCCCCCTGCCCCTGCCTCTCCCCCTGCCTCTCCCCCTCCCCCTGCCCCTGCCCCCGTCCTTGCCCCTGCCCCTGGTTGGCTGCTTGCCCTTCCTTCCGTCGACTCCTCCTCCGCCCCCTCTATCCTACCCATGCTCCTCACTCTCCTACCACTCCCATCGCTGCTCCCCTCCCTTTCGCACTCACTCTCCTCCCTCCTCCCCACGTTCCTCGCTCCTTTAGCTACCCTACCCAGCCACTCACTCCCCCCCTCCTCCTCCTCCCTCCTCCAGCCCCGCACCCCCGTCCTCAATCCACTCAGCCACCCACTCCTCCCATCATCGCCGCCCGAACCGTTGCTGCCCAAACCAGTGCCGCAAGAACCCAAACCATTGCCGGCCAAATCAGTGCCGTTCAAATCAGTGCCTACCAAATCAGTGCCACCTAAATCAGTGCCACCCGAACCATTGCCGACCAGATCTCTTCTCTCCTCCGCCCTCCTCTCCCCCTCTCCCCTCTCCTCCTCCTCCACACTATGCGTCCTCACAGTAGGCCCCCCAAGCCCACACATTCTTAGCATGCCAAGGGAAGCAAGGACACGAGGAGAGATGAGAGACTTGCTCCTTCTCCTCCTTCTCTCAAACCCTTGTTTCCTGTCGTCACTGTCATCATTGATATCATTCACATTGCCGCCCAAAAGGCCACCCCTCTTTGTCTCATGCCCTCCCGTGAAGGCGCTCCGGCTTCGTTCATGCCTCCCGCTCCTGCTACTGTGGCCCTGGCTTCCGAGCCTGCTGTGCCCGGGCCTGTCGCCGCCGAACCTGTTGCTGCTGCTGAAGCTGCTGCCGCTGCTGCCATGGCTGCTGGGTAGGGGAAAACAGGCAGCAGCAGCAGCAGCAGCAGCAGCAGCAGAAGCAGCATCATCATCATCAGCAGCAGCAGCACCTGCTTCCTCCCTTCCCTTTCCATCTCCTTTTTCTTCCTTCCCCACCTCCTCCGCTCTCTCCTCCCAATCTCCCTCCTCCCTCTCCACCCCTGCTTCCCCTGTCCCCTCTTCCTCCTCCTGACCCTGTCCCTCCTCCCAATCATCACCATCACCATCACCATCACCATTGCCATCACCATCACCATCACCATCACCATCACCATCACCATCGCCATCACCATCACCATCACCATCACCATCACCATCACCATCGCCATTACCGACCCCTCCCTCTTCCCATCCCTCTTCTGCTTCCTCCTCCCTCTCCACCCCTGCTTCCCAACTCCCCTCTTCCTCCTCCTCCTCTCCCCTTCTCTCACCTTGCTCCTCCTTCTCCTCTTCCTCCTCCCCCAATTCCCCCCCTCGCTCCTCCCATCCCTCTTCTGTTTCCTCCCCCCTCACCATCCATGCTTCCCAAGTTCCCTCTCCCTCCGCCTGTCCCTGCCCCTCCGCCCAATCATCAATACTATCAGCATCATCCCCATCCCCATCCCCATCCCCATCCCCATCCCCATCCCCATCCCCATCCCCATCCCCATCCCCATCCCCATCCCCATCCCCATCCCCATCCCCATCCCCATCCCCATCCCCATCCCCATCCCCATCCCCATCCCCATCCCCACCCCCATCACCATCACTCACTGCATGCAGGACGACCGATGATGAATGAGTTGCATGATGCGCCACGGCAAGCTGGTTACCACCATGGTTACCAGATGTGGATGGTTCAGGTGCTACCAGGCGGGATGTGGGGGAGGGCGATCTGCAGTGCTGGTAATCATTGCACGTGACATGAGTGCCGGGTTTTTGTGAAGGAGGGGAGGGTACATCAGGTGCTACTGCTACTGCACGAGACATGGAGAATACAGATGCTACCACGCGGGAAGTGGGGGAAGTGGGGGAAGTGGGGGAAGTGGGGGAAGTGGGGGAAATGGGGGAAGTGGGGGAAGGCGATCTGCTGTGGAGGTAGCCAGTGCGTGTGACGTGAGGGTCAGCAACGTGCAAAGGAGGGGAGGGTAAATCAGGTGTTACAGCTACTGCACGAGATGTGGGGAATACGGATGCTACTACGCGGGAAGTGGGGGAGGATGACCCGCTGTGGGGGTAGTCAGTGCATGTGACGTGAGGGTTAGCAACTGGCAGAGGAGTGGTGGGCACAGGCGATGTGCTGTGATGTGTTACTGTTACTGCTGCACGACACATGAGCTCAGGTGCTACTTTCTGTGAAGGAGTGGTGGGGAATGCAGGTGCTGCTAGGCGGGAAGTGGGGGAGGGCGATCTGCTTTGGTGGGGGAGGAAAGGCAGGGAGGCAAGACGAACCCCACGCTGCTTCCCACCCTCCTCCCTCTTACACTCTCCCTCATCCACCCCTCCCTCCCCTTCCCCTTTCCTTCTCTTCTTCCCTTCCCCCTCCTGTCTGCGCCCCCTTTCCCATGCTTCCTCCTCCTCACCTTCCTCCTCCTCATCTTCCTCCTCCTCATCTTCCTCCCCTCCTTTGCCGTCAAGGTACAAACCTGGACCGTCCCCTCGCCCTTCCTCCTGCTGACGTGGCGCGAGGTGACGTGGTGAGGGCTGACGTGGCTGCCGTGGCTGCCGCCACTGGAAGCTTCTGCTCTGGCGATGGCGGAAGGGCGAGACAGGGGGCGGGAGGGGGGACTCTAGCACACGGAGGAGGGGGGAGTCCGGGGGAAGGGGGGAGCGGGGAGTGAGGGAGGATGGAGTGAGAGGAGGGTGGGTGAGAGAGTGAGGAGTGAGAGAGTGTGGAGTGAGTGAGTGGGGAGTGAGGGAAGAGTGGTGCTCCTCCCTGTCTGTCGCCAGGAGGCTGAGGTCCAGAGTGCATGCTCTGTGCTTCGCCTTGTGCTTGCCATTGTGCTGTCCCTTCTCGTCACCCCCTTTTCCCCAGTCGCTGCTTCCGCCTGCAGGCTTATCCGCAGCAGCAGCACCCCCCTGTGGCACAGCAGCCGTTGGATCACAGTCAGCAGAAGCAGCAGCAGCCGTTGGATCACCATCAGCAGAAGCAGCAGCGATCGGAGCAGCAGTGGCACTGGCTGTCCCTCCCTGCTCCTCCTCCCCTTTCCTCCTCCCTTTCTTCTTCCTCCTCCCCTCCTTCACCACCCTCACTATACTCTCAGCAGGTGTCACATCCACCCACTCACTCACAAACACCTCCCCACCCTCCTCTCGATTTAAGCACGCTCGATTCACCAACACCCCCTCCTCCCCCCCGTTACTAGCATCTAAAGCACCTCCCACACTCCCAACCCTCCGCATCCTCCCGAGCCTCCACTGAAACTTTCTCCCGCTGCTTCGGCCGAGGCTGCTGCTTCCTAGCCTAGCCAGCCCCTCACTGCCGAACCTAGGGATGCTGCTCCGGATGCTCCTCCTCGCACGATTCTCAACCCCCCCCTCCGCTCCATAGCCGCTCTTATTGCTAAGGTGACTCTGGTTATAAAAATTGTTTGATTCATAACCATAGCGGTCAACATCGGAAGGGGCGGAGCCAGGTCGCACCAGCTCCTGCGGCTCGTCTGCCACGTGGCGAAGGCTCGGAATCTGCCGCCCGCTCCCCTGCCGCCCGCCTCCTTGCTGCCCGCCACTGGCGCTCCCGACCCTCCTCTGGTAGGCAACTGGCTCCGGTCCCGTGGCAACTCTCCGTAGCTTCGGCACCTTCTTGGAAACTGCAACTGTCCCCCTCCCTGCCGCCGCTGCCCCCGCCGCCGTTGCCACCGCAGCAGCGGCAGTGCGAGTTGGGTCGCCATCGCTCCACACCATCTGACCGTCTGTTCGGAAAGCCTCGCTCCACGCTAGATCCATGCCGTCGATCAACCCCTCCGATGAGTCAGCTGCCTCTGAAGATAGGCCGCACCCAGTTAACCCCTCCCTGCTCGCACAGCTATCAGCAGGTATGGTAGCAGCCTTAGCACTGCTGCCTTGAGTCTTACTACTACTACTACTAGTGACCCTTGTAGTATTAGCATTAGTAGTGATGATTCGGAAGGGCTTGTCATCGGAAGGGTTAGCAGCCACGTGGTGGTGGAGGAGGCGCCGCGATGCTTCCATCCCGGCCTCTCCCACTTCCCCGCCTCTCGGCGCTTCCCCTCCTCCTGCTCCTCCCCCCCGTTCTTCCACCGCATCTGGCCACTCTAAAGTCCGCTCCACGCCACCGCGTCTGTACCCCTCCCCCCTCGCCTCTGCATCTCCCTCCACGCCGCCGCTTCTCCCTCCTCTCCTCGCCTTTCCGAGCGCGCTCGCCGCCCGCCAGCTTCTGTACACGCTCACCCGCGCGGGCCGCCACGTGGTTCCTGACGATTGGCTCGTGCTGCTGCCCGGGGAAGCGCCCGCCTGACTGGGACTGGCGGGGGGAGGCGCAGCGGGAGACGCGGGAGACGGCGCCGCGCGGGGGGAGGGGATACCGGGGGAGTGCGCAATGGCGGAGGTTGCTCTGGCGGAAGGCGCGCTGAGAGAGGAGTCCCTGGGGGAGGCGGAGGAGGCGGGGGATGGCGCGGCACGAGGGGAGAATACGGGGGGGAAGGGGGAACGGGGGGAGGGCCTATCAACAGAGTGTGGCGTGTTGGGCAAGGGGCCTAAGGCGGAAGGTTTTCCGGCAGCGCGCGCGGCGGGGGAGCGCACCGGCGGAGCGGCGGGTTGCGGGGAGGAGTGCGCGGGAGCCTCTGCGGGGGAGCGTGCGGGAGCCATTTGGGGGGCGGTTAGCGACGGCGGTTCGGCTTGCGGAGGCGCGAGGGGGGACCGGAGGGAGGCGGAGCGTCGGCGGAAAGACGGGGAGCGCGGACTTGGGGGAAGCTCGATGTGCAACGCGGGGGGCGCTGCTGCGCGTTTTGAAGGATGCGGTCCTTGCGGCAAAATTTGCGGCGGTGCTTGCGGCCGGGTAGCCCGCGATTGACGCCGGCGCGAGTGCGGGGACTGCGCGGAACGCGGGGAGTGCGCGGAATGGGGGGAATGCGGTAACTGGGGGAGCCGTGGCGGTCGTTCGACGGCTAGCGCCTCCATCCACTCCTCCGGTTTGCCACCGCCGTTCGCGGTATGCCACCAACCGTCAAGAGACGGAAGTTCCCGCTCCGGCCGCAAATTCCCCCATCCCTCTCCCCGCACCTCCTCCCCCCCTCTGTGTTCCCCCCCTTCGTGCGCCCCCCCCTCCGCCATCCACCCGCCCGCCATCGCCTTGTCCGCCATCTCCTCGCCCGCCATCTCCCCGTCCGCCATCGCGCCGTCCGCTTCTAGCACCGACACCGGCGACGTGCGCCGCGGCGGCTTGCGCTGCTCCGCCCGCTCGTCGGCAATCCCGAAGGGCCTTTGAACGGACTTCAACGGTAACTGCTCCGCGCTCTCGACATCCCCCAGGGACCTTTGGACCATGACGGTTTTGAGCGGTAATTGCTTCGCGGCCCGCTCGTCAATCCCGAGGGGATGTGCGCGGGGCGGCCCTTTTGCGGAAAGTGCGCTCACTTGTGGCCCCGAGTCTGGATCTTTCTCCCCATGTTGCACGACTGTCTGCGGACACTTAGCTTTCCTGAAACGACGGGACCAAACCCGGCCGATGGCGTCTTTTGTGGGGCCATGGCGTCGCGTCGCGGGCTGTGCTGCACAAAACTTATGGACTTAGAAATAGTGGAATTGTAGCAAAGCAGCAGAAATCTGTTTTCGTGGTGTCGAGGGAAGACCGAGAATGGAGCAACCAGCTGGTCAGTCTCTAGGACGTGATCCGTCGTCGACACTATTGCTGCAGCTGACGTGCCTAACGCAGACGCACTGCATGGCTGCCGCTAGCGCTGAACTGCCGTCACTCGTAGCTGCAGAACATAGCTGTTGTAAATCCGAGTCCGCGTAGCTTACGCCCCGCTTTAGTACGGTCCGGTGCGTTTAAATGGACTTTCGTAACAGTGCAATCGATTCTAAATTTGCTACGGTTACGCGGGTTTTAGAGGTAAGATGGACTTTCATGACGCTCCCAAAACTGGCTGCGGTATGCTCGACTGCACGTTGCGTTGACCAAAGTGCTTCACGTACACTTAGCCTGCGGTATTTTTACACCCAGTATTTTCACAGGGGGTTCCGCCGAGAGGGTATTCACCCCTCCGAAAGCAGCTCCTGATTACCAGATCCGAATACCCTTGAAAAATAAATTGAACCTGGATTTCTATACGAAACGTTTAGTGCACGATTTACTGTTTCTCGAATCAGCAAACCCAGCGTCAGCTTAGGTAGTGCTCAAAGTTTTTGCCCGCGTGGAGTCTGCCAAGCTTAGGCTGTAGGGACAAGAGGGTAATGCCTACGCACGCATAAATGGTCAGGGTGGAAACAAAAATTCTTCTACCGGCCAGTTTCAGGGTATGAAAATACCGCAAGCTAAGTATATTTTCACCTTGTTCAACTGTCCATTACACCAAGGGTCCACCTTACGTCTGCAAGTTATTTTGGCCCAGCCTCCCACCTGCGCCCATTCGCCACCAATTATTGGCAACGACTCTTTCACCTAAGGGCCATTCACCTGGGTTCTGTGGCAGCTGCGACACAAAGGCAGCCAGCATGTCCTTGCAAAGCATTTCATAGAGTACGCCCCCCTTCAATTCTCAACAAAATCGCGCATCATCAAGACGCACCGCAATACACCTCTCACATATTTTCGAGGAAGTATTTTTTGAACTAAATTTCATGCATGTCAGATGTTCTGGCACCAGGTTGACGTTAGAGCGGGGATACCGGCTCCACCGCGTGGGTGATGCATAAACCGCAACCTACCTCAGGCACGTCTTGACCACGGTCCGCCGTGGACAGACGTCGTTGGAGGCGCATGATGTTACGAGGGTCAAGGCGGACTACCTATGGGGAACCGACGTCGGGATTCGTCCTGGCGGCGCGCTACCTCCAGTGGTATATGCCTCGGCATCAGTACCGATTGTGGGGGTTACGTGTTACCTCTCCCTCTGATGCAAATGCCCGTCTGGGTACGGCTGTCTCCGAAATGGGGCACGCGCTTCAACGCTGATCGGTGCGGGGTTTTTGCGGAGCACCGCATATGCTGGGTACTGCCAGCCCGGACCGCCCACCCTCTGCAACACGGGTGAAGTTTCGGGCGCTAGGGGGTTTCCCCCAGGGGCTCGCAGGTGGATCGGCGTGGGAAAGGGGGCCTGGTTTCCTCCTGGGATCTCCTTAAAGCCCCCCCCCAAAAAAAAAAAAAAACCAGTCCTCTTTATGGCCGATTCTCCCGTGGCGTAGGCTAGCAAAATGAGTGTCCGCATTACGCCCACGCGGTTCGTCTAGACCAAAGACGCACGATGCGCAACCGGTGCACTCTGCTGAAATGTACTCACAACACAGAAACCTGTCTGCGCTGCACGCTGCAGTACGAACAGTGTTGGCTGTTCCATTGTTGGCGGGAAGAGGCACTGTTTTCCGTGCTGTGTACACTGTACAGCACCATATGTCTGACACGCCAGCAACACTGCGTTGAAATTGGACACGCCTGCCATGCCGTGCAGTGGTGCTGCCGTACGTACGGATGAGTTTCCGCATTTTTGTTCGACCCTCGTTTCGTCCTCTTCATTGCTGCAGTTCGTTCAGTTCAGTTCAGACACTCCAGTTCTTGTCGCGCCTCACTCGCTGCCAGAGTTTGTGAGTTGCTGACTAGGCTGAGTTTCATGTTGCGTCGAAGCTGCCAGCTGAAGAGACGAGTGGCTCAGTTGCGAAGAAGACGACAGCTCAGACCACGTGTGACGCTAAATTTATAAAATCCGTCCTCCAAGCAGCTGCTCGTTAAGGTAGAATTACACCCTGATTTCTACGAGTCTGCTTTCATGTACAAGTCAAGATGTCCACACCAATGATCGCCCCAATGATCGCCCCAATGATTGCCTTCATCTCACACTTACGTACAAGTCAAGATGCCCACACCAAAGGTTGGGAGGATGCTGTGACACCAGTCGGAACTTCCCTACATTTTCGGAAGTAAAATCCTTTGGGTGGTTATGAACTGACGAGGAACTCTGGTCTTGTCTCCAACCTCTGAGGGTTGATTCCGGGGAGAGTGTCATATCCGAGGCAGACCCGCGGCCGAAGGAGCCGTGGGTTCTCACAAACTAACTGCGGGTTTAGTGTGCTTGACGGTGAAGCGGCGAAACACGATCACTTTGTCGCAAAAAACGAGTTGCGACTGTGCCACTAGCCTGCAGGCCTGTTATGCATTTATGCATTGGCGGACGATCACTCGTGCGCCGTTTGCGAACGTGCAGTATGCCGGTGACTTGGTACACGTCGTCAGTTTTTGGCAAGACCCGAGACATTTTTTTTCCAACCTCGGACCTCCTCACTAGACCCTCGGGTCAGACACCCGCTCCAGAATCAGCCCTGACAAAGTCGTTGACTTTTAACAAGACTCGTTACAAATCGAATGGCGTGTACTTCAATGGAGCTTAGTGGAGAGCTGCTTTATCAGTATAGACTCCTAAACAAATGCAAGGTACTATCAAGCTTTGGAGAGTTGCGTTTTCCATGAACATGCAAGATCAAGTAATTGAAATGGAATTGCAAATCTATGGCATTGGTAGGTATGCTTAGCTGTTTGGAACTTAAATACAGTCTCACTTCTTAAGGCCAGAGAATTGTCGGAGATTTAGGGGGTGTCCTAAGTAGCGCGAAGGTTTCGGGACGTCGCGGAAACGAGAAGGTTTGGTCCCTAACCGTTTTTAATTTAAAGGAAATCGTGCTGTACCTTCTTGTGACGTCCCCAGGTGTCACTAAATGTTTTACTTCGACACTCCCTTAGTCCACCGCTTTGGAGTTCCCATCCCCTGTTTCATCATTAGCTGCATAGTTGGGCTCCCTTGACGACGCCGTTACCACACTAGACGAACCTCGCGTGCATGCTGGCTATCCGCGATGCAAGCTGCCGCGACATTGGCCCTGCCGGCGTCGCCCGTGCACGGCTCTGCGATCTGCTGGTCGCACGACAACCTGCTGGCAGCGGCGCTCGGCCCGCTCGTCGTCATCCTGGTTCGCTTTAGCCCCCTTCTGTTTACCTCTCGCCCTGCTATACCTGCCTTCGCTGTACTTTTTCTTCTGCCCATTAATACACGGACCGCTTGAGGGAAAGGGGGCCGAGAGAGCCAGGGTGAGACGGGGGATGCGAGCGAGCAGGAAGGAGAGGCGATGGAAGGGAAACGAGCGAGCGGTGTGCCTCGAGTGCCGGCGAGATTCAAGCCAGAGCGGGGACGAGAGAACTGGGGTGAAGCAACCCTAGCTAATGTTCCCTTCCACTCCCCAAGCCTCCCCACCTACTCCCCCTCCAGCGTCTGAAGGAGGTCCCCTTTCCCTCTTGCTCATTCCCCCCCACCCTCTCCGCGTCTCCTCCCTTGGCTTAACGGGCCTAACTGCCGACTTAACCTGCTCTCATTATTCGTGTCATAATCGTCTCAACGGCGTACATCATTCCAGCATTCTGAAACCGCCCAGTACCTGGTTCTAATGCTCGCTTTGCCATTCCCGCTCATTGCCTTCAACAACTCACCCCCCGTTACAACCCTCATGGGACACCATTCCCGCGTGTTGCTTCAACCCATTCATGGGCGAAGGCAGCAAAAGACTTGGAGCTTACGAGTAACACCCCCACTAAAAGCCAGACCTACCTTGCTACCCTTCCTACCCTCCCGCTGCCTTCCAGAACCCGGCCAATTTCAAAGGGCCACGTGGCTTCATCCTGTTGCAGCCGTCGGATTCTCTAGATGCCCAGATCAACGGCCACGTGGCTGACCCAGGTTGGCTGCCTCGTTCCAATTTCCAAGTCAAACCCAAACCAAGACACTCCCTCATGACCTACCATACCCTTCTTCTTGCTCTCCAAACACCCTCTAATTTCCCGCCAGTGGCATCTCCCTCCAATCTCCCTCTATGTCCCCCCGCTCTTTTCTGGACCTTTGGTTCGACTCAAAAGTCACCAACCGCACCGTTTTTCTTGGTCCAAACACCCTCAAATCTACTCACCCTCCGCCTCTGCCATAACCCTCTGTTTTGAGGCGCCTCAAATCTAATCACCCTCCGCCACTGCCATATGTGATTTGTGAGTCGACTAAAAAATGGTCCAAACACCCTCTAATCACCCTCCGCCAGTGACATAACCCTCTGTGTTGTGTTCCATCATCCTTCTCTTGGACCTTTCTCGCTTCCTTTGCTCCATCGTCGCTCTCTCTGCCGTCTCTTGGTTCGTTTGCATTGCATTCGTCGTACCCGTTCTTCCAAATCTGCCTGCCCCAGTCCTCACCTTCCTGCGTCTACACGCCGACTGCTCGCTCTCTCTCTCCTTCTCTCTACCTCAAGCGGTCGTGCTCATTGAGTGAAACCTGAGTACAAACCACATAGCAGCACAGGGCAGCGTGCAAAGTCAAGCAAGACCTGAGAGGTCTCCCTACCTCTCTCTCTTCTGTCTCCCCGCCTCAATCCCCTGCCTCCAGATCTACCCGCCTTAGTTCTCACCTCCCTGCGCCTGCGCCTACACCTCCTGCTCCACCCCTTCCTCTTTCTTTCGCCTCTGCCTCTTCCCCCTTTCCTAGATCTACCTGCCCCAGTCCCCGCCTCCCTGCTCCTGTCTCCCTTCACTCTACCTCTGTCTCCCCTCCTCTATCCCTTGTCCGCAGATCTACCTGCTCCGGTCCTCACCTCCCTGCGGCTGCGCGCTGACTCCTCTCTCTCCGTCCGCTCCCTTGCTTGGTCCCCTGCGCTGCCCCACTCCATCCTCCAAGGCGGGTAAGACCGTGTTGACTGCTGTTGACTGTTGTTGACCTGTGTTTACTCTGTTGGGAGCAGAGAAGGCTGGGTTTTCTTAATTCTGAGGCCCATCCTAAGCACCAGTCTGAGCAGGTTGAGTCTGTTGCCCGACCCGACGCAACAGCTGCTTCAGACGAAGGCCCGCATTGTCTGCTATAATCAGTCAATCCCATCCATGCCCCCGCACTCCTCCCTCCCGCCAATCACCAGCTGCCACCTGGCGGTGTGCTCCTCGGATGGCAGGCTGAGAGTGTTCAGAGCTCCGGTGCAGGAAGCAGGCTCCAGGTGGATCCAGGTGAGGTCCAGGTGGGTTTCAGGTGAGGTTCAGGTGAAATTTCAGGTGGGTCACTGCAGTCCACGCTGGCCTGCCAGAAGTCACCTGCTGTTTCTGTGTGCATTACAGTTTTTGTGTGTTCTGATGCCCCAAAACACGTGCGACATATCAGCTGTTATATGAATTACTTGCCCTTTCCTGCCTTGTTGCCTGCCCACGGGTCAATCTCTGCACAGGTGGCAGATCTCTCTGCCTCGCTTGCTGCTCGCCTGAGAGACACGTGGCAGAGCAAGCCACGTGGCAGAGATGAGGCAACGACACCTGGCATAGAAGACAAGGCGACACATGGCAGGGCTGACAAGAGGACACGTGGCGCTTGTGTGGACAAGTCACGCAGCAGCCACCAGAAGGATCTGGGAAGTTCAAGAGAGGGGGTGGGGAGAGCAGGGAGGAAGAGGAGGAGGGCTGAAAGGTATGGGGAATTCGCGGAGGGGGGAGGAGAGGGGGAAGAGGGGGGAGAGGGGGAAGGGGGAGAAGGGAGTGAGGAGGAGGAGGAAGAGGTGATTGCAGAGTGGGAGAAAGAGGCAGAAGGGGAGGAGGAGGAGTCCGATGAGGAGGATTGGGAAGAGGAGGAGGATGACAGGGAAACAATTAAAGAAGCAGCAGCAGCAGCAGCAGCAGCAGCAGCAGGAGGAAAGGCTGCAGCAAAAAGGACTAAATCTTCCGGACGGCCAGGTCTCAGCCCAGAACAACCCGGCCAATCATGCCACATCACTCCGAACCAGTTCGCCGCCCGGCACAAGCGCTTGTTCGCCACGTGTGTGGCATGGTCCCCACTAGTCGCGCTGACGTGGCAAGCAGACCAGCAGATGACAGCAAGGTCTGCTTCGCCTCACCTTGAGGACTACCCTGATAAAGCAGCACGGCCAGGCGAGGCAGAGCAGCAGGTGCCCAGGGAAGCACAGCAAGGCGAAGCAGTGCCACCCCTCCCCGTCTCACCAGAGGGCCCGTTTTGGAGGACTCTAATCAACCAGCCTTCCTTCTCATGCCTGGCTGCTGCCTCCCAGTCAGGTCACATCTCCCTCTGGCGCCATTCCTTCCCTCCCCAACCCTCCCCTCTCCCTTTCTCTCCTCCTACTCCTCCTCCTTCTCAACCCGCCAAGGCGCCTCACACTGCTCCTCCTGCTCTTCCTCTTCCCTCCTCTCCGTCTCCTCGTTCGCCGTCCGACTGTCCGTGGGCTCTCCTGCGGTCGCTGAGAGCGCATCCTGGCCGTTGGATCACCGCGCTGACTTGGCTGGATGACGTGGCTTGTAGCTGTGGTGATGTGGCACATGAGGAGATGGAAAGGGGAAGCAAGGGAAGAAGTAGCAATAGCAGCAGCGGCAGCAGCGGCAGCAGCAGCAGTGGTGGTGTGAGGCTGCTCCTTGTGTCGGGTGCTTCCGATGGAAGGTAAGTGCTGGAATTCTGTTTTGAGGCGCCTCAAAACCGCGTGATAGGAGTCTAGTTTTGAGGCACCTCAAAACGGGTGCTTCCGATGGGAGGTAAGTGCTGGAATTCTGGTTACCACCAGTTAACATTTGACTCGCTCTTGTTCATGTCAACTTGCTACAGCCCCACTCTCTTGCCTAGTAATTTCCCCCAAGAAGCACATTCCCTTGCCTAACCGTTTCTCTTAGTCTTGTCAAGAGCCACTCCCTAACTCCTCTCCCTCCAGTGTGACTGTATGGCAGGTGACCTTCTCTCTCCCCTCGCCACAATCACAACCAGCAAGAGCTCACCATTCTTCTAGTGGCTCTGCCCACCTGCCCAGGCTGCAGACCAAGATAGTGCTCCTCGTCAAGGCAAGTGTGTGCGTCCCTATCACCATATCGTATTGAATATTGAATATCACCATATCGTATTGAATATTGAATATCACCATATCGTATTGAACGCTTACTGTGTTCTTGTTGCTGACCCAACACCTTTGGAGTCAGTCACCATTCCACAAGTGGCCCTGCCTGCCCTGCCCACCTACCCGGGCTGCAGACCAAGATAGCAGCCGTCGTCAAGGCATGTGTCTGTCAGGTCAGGGTGTGAATGAGCACAGACACCCGGGCTGCAGATCAAGATAGCAGCCGTCGTCAAGACACCCTGACACATGCCTAGTGCTCAGGCATTCCCTAGTGCCCCTAACACTAGGGAATGAATGAGCACTAGGCATGTGCACAGTGAGGTGCTCTCTAGGGAGATAGGCATTGAATGCACACTGTGTTTTTGTCGCTAGCCAAACCTTTGAAGTCAGTCACCATTCCACAAGTGGCCCTGCCTGCCCTGCCCTCGTACCCGTGTTGCAGATCAAATTGCTGCAGGCATGTGTCTGTGTTGTGTTGTTATCACAAGAGAGCACCCCTTTATCCCCACTCACCAATCTCTCTGTCTCGTGTCTCCCTTCATCCCCCTTCTCCCGCGCTCCATCCCACACTGCCTCTGACGTCCGTCTTCCCACGCCCCCCCCCCCCCTCTGACCCCCCCTTCCTCCTCTTCTCTCTCCCCCCTCCCCCCGTCCCCAACCACGTCCCCCCCCCTGACCCCACTCTCCACCCTCTTCCCCACACTCCTCCCCAACCCCTACCCTCCTCCCCTCCCCACCAGCTCGCCACTCCCAACATGTCCCCACTCACCTGCCTCTCTGCCTCACTGCGGCTGATATCTGCGTATCCCCTCCCCCGCAAGTCCCTCCCTTCCCGCCCCATCAGCTCGCCACTCCCAACATGTCCCCACTCACCTGCCTCTCTGCCTCACTGCGGCTGATATCTGCATATCCCCTCTCCCGCAAGTCCCTCCCTCCCCGCCCCATCAGCTCGCCACTCCCAACATGTCCCCACTCACCTGCCTCTCTGTCGCGCGCCTCTCCGTCTCACTGCGTCTGATATCCGCGTATCCCTTGTCTAAGTTTTTGAGAATTCTCAAAAACCTATCTCAGCCTAGCTTACAACTCACTGCGTCTGACATCCACTTATCCCCTCTCCTGCACGTCCCTCCCTCCCCGCCCCACCAGCTCGCCACTCCCAACATGTCCCCAGTCACCTGCCTCTCTGTCTCGCTTCTTTCCCATGCCATGCTTGGCGCTTTAACTGGACTTTCCACGGCTGCTGCTGCGGGTGGGGATACTGCTAGTGCTCCTAGTGCTGCTGTTGCAGCAGTGGCAACACCAGCAGAAGCAGCACCAGCAGCAGCAGCAGCAGCAGCAGCAGCAGCAGCAGCAGCAGCACCAGCACCAGCAGCAGCAGCAGCAGCAGCGCCAGCAGCAGCAGTGGTGGTGGCAGCAGGGTGTGCATCGGGGCAAGTGGTGGCATGGTGGGTGCGATGGGGGGATGGGGGGAGGAGAGGGGCGCATAGGGCGGGGTCAGAAGGAGTGGGGGGGAGGGACTCAGGGGGGAAGGCGGAGGTTGAGGGGGAAGCGGGAAAAGCAGGCGGCATTAAGGTGAATGGAGGCGAGGGGAGGGAGAAAGGAAGGGAGGGGGCTGAAGGAAAGGGGAAAGTGAGAGGAAAGGAAGGGAAAGGCGAGGGACGGAGGAAAGGGATTACCGCAGCGGCAAGTGGCAGTATGGTTGTGGCGGGATGGGCGGATGCACATGCGGCAGCAGTGACAGGGGTGGTGGTGGTGGTGGGGCAGGCAGGAACGGCTGCTCTCTACTCCTGCTCCCAGGTGTGTGCTCTTCCATGTACTCACATGATGTCATCTTGTGTACAGTAGTATGCCGAACAGGTGTAGGTGGGGGGAGAATGGGCGGATGCCCATGGAGTAGCAGTGACAGGGGTGGTGGTGGTGGTGGGGCAGGCAGGAACGGCTGCTCTCTACTCCTGCTCCCAGGTGTGTGCTCTTCCATGTACTCACATGATGTCATCTTGCGTACAGTAGTATGCCGAACAGGTGTAGGTGGTGGGAGAACGGGCGGATGCCCATGGAGTAGCAGTGACAGGGGTAGTGGTGGTGGTGGGGCAGGCAGGAACGGCTGCTCTCTACTCCTGCTCCCAGGTGTGTGCTCTTCCATGAACTCACATGATGTCATCTTGCGTACAGTAGTATGCCGAACAGGTGTAGGTGGTGGGAGAACGGGCGGATGCCCATGGAGTAGCAGTGACAGGGGTAGTGGTGGTGGTGGGGCAGGCAGGAACGGCTGCTCTCTACTCCTGCTCCCAGGTGTGTGCTCTTCCATGAACTCACATGATGTCATCTTGCGTACAGTAGTATGCCGAACAGGTGTAGGTGGTGGGAGAACGGGCGGATGCCCATGGAGTAGCAGTGACAGGGGTAGTGGTGGTGGTGGGGCAGGCAGGAACGGCTGCTCTCTACTCCTGCTCCCAGGTGTGTGCTCTTCCATGAACTCACATGATGTCATCTTGCGTACAGTAGTATGCCGAACAGGTGTAGGTGGTGGGAGAACGGGCGGATGCCCATGGAGTAGCAGTGACAGGGGTAGTGGTGGTGGTGGGGCAGGCAGGAACGGCTGCTCTCTACTCCTGCTCCCAGGTGTGTGCTCTTCCATGAACTCACATGATGTCATCTTGCGTACAGTAGTATGCCGAACAGGTGTAGGTGGTGGGAGAACGGGCGGATGCCCATGGAGTAGCAGTGACAGGGGTAGTGGTGGTGGTGGGGCAGGCAGGAACGGCTGCTCTCTACTCCTGCTCCCAGGTGTGTGCTCTTCCATGAACTCACATGATGTCATCTTGCGTACAGTAGTATGCCGAACAGGTGTAGGTGGTGGGAGAACGGGCGGATGCCCATGGAGTAGCAGTGACAGGGGTAGTGGTGGTGGTGGGGCAGGCAGGAACGGCTGCTCTCTACTCCTGCTCCCAGGTGTGTGCTCTTCCATGAACTCACATGATGTCATCTTGCGTACAGTAGTATGCCGAACAGGTGTAGGTGGTGGGAGAACGGGCGGATGCCCATGGAGTAGCAGTGACAGGGGTAGTGGTGGTGGTGGGGCAGGCAGGAACGGCTGCTCTCTACTCCTGCTCCCAGGTGTGTGCTCTTCCATGAACTCACATGATGTCATCTTGCGTACAGTAGTATGCCGAACAGGTGTAGGTGGTGGGAGAACGGGCGGATGCCCATGGAGTAGCAGTGACAGGGGTAGTGGTGGTGGTGGGGCAGGCAGGAACGGCTGCTCTCTACCCTGCTCCCAGGTGTGTGCTCTTCCATGAACTCACATGATGTCATCTTGCGTACAGTAGTATGCCGAACAGGTGTAGGTGGTGGGAGAACGGGCGGATGCCCATGGAGTAGCAGTGACAGGGGTAGTGGTGGTGGTGGGGCAGGCAGGAACGGCTGCTCTCTACTCCTGCTCCCAGGTGTGTGCTCTTCCATGAACTCACATGATGTCATCTTGCGTACAGTAGTATGCCGAACAGGTGTAGGTGGTGGGAGAACGGGCGGATGCCCATGGAGTAGCAGTGACAGGGGTAGTGGTGGTGGTGGGGCAGGCAGGAACGGCTGCTCTCTACTCCTGCTCCCAGGTGTGTGCTCTTCCATGAACTCACATGATGTCATCTTGCGTACAGTAGTATGCCGAACAGGTGTAGGTGGTGGGAGAACGGGCGGATGCCCATGGAGTAGCAGTGACAGGGGTAGTGGTGGTGGTGGGGCAGGCAGGAACGGCTGCTCTCTACTCCTGCTCCCAGGTGTGTGCTCTTCCATGAACTCACATGATGTCATCTTGCGTACAGTAGTATGCCGAACAGGTGTAGGTGGTGGGAGAACGGGCGGATGCCCATGGAGTAGCAGTGACAGGGGTAGTGGTGGTGGTGGGGCAGGCAGGAACGGCTGCTCTCTACTCCTGCTCCCAGGTGTGTGCTCTTCCATGAACTCACATGATGTCATCTTGCGTACAGTAGTATGCCGAACAGGTGTAGGTGGTGGGAGAACGGGCGGATGCCCATGGAGTAGCAGTGACAGGGGTAGTGGTGGTGGTGGGGCAGGCAGGAACGGCTGCTCTCTACTCCTGCTCCCAGGTGTGTGCTCTTCCATGAACTCACATGATGTCATCTTGCGTACAGTAGTATGCCGAACAGGTGTAGGTGGTGGGAGAACGGGCGGATGCCCATGGAGTAGCAGTGACAGGGGTAGTGGTGGTGGTGGGGCAGGCAGGAACGGCTGCTCTCTACTCCTGCTCCCAGGTGTGTGCTCTTCCATGAACTCACATGATGTCATCTTGCGTACAGTAGTATGCCGAACAGGTGTAGGTGGTGGGAGAACGGGCGGATGCCCATGGAGTAGCAGTGACAGGGGTAGTGGTGGTGGTGGGGCAGGCAGGAACAGCTGCTCTCTACTCCTGCTCCCAGGTACTGCCCTAAACCCAGGTACTGCCCTCGCGATGCACAGTGTACGCTACTCCCATGCATGCTCCCAGGCACGATTTTTGAGGCGCCTCAAAAATGCTCCCAGGCACGATTTTTTAGGCGCCTCGAAAATGCTCCCAGGCACGATTTTTTAGGCGCCTAAAAAATGCTCCCAGGCACGATTTTTTAGGCGCCTCAAAAATGCTCCCAGGCACGATTTTTTAGGCGCCTCAAAAATGCTCCCAGGCACGCTCTTAGGTGGGGGATGGGTGTGCGGATGCCATGCAGCATAGTTTTGAGGCGCCTCAAAACTAGACTCCTATCACGCAGCAGTGGTGACAGGGGTGGCGGTGGTGGCTGGAGAGGCATGGAAGCAACATCTCTCTACTCCTGCTCCAAGGCACCCCTCAATGGATGGTCTCCCAGACTCCCAGTGTATTCTCCCACTCACCACCCTTAACCCTTACCTCCCACCGTCTACCCTCTACCCTCCCGTCAGGTCGACTCAATCAAGTGTTGGTCCGTCACCCCCCCACCCACCTCCCACACCTCCTCCTCCACCGCCCTCCCCTCCTCTCCACCCGCCGCCTCTCTCCCCCCTGATTTCCTTCCCCTGCGGCCACTTCCCCTTCCTCGCCTCACCTCCTCCCTCCCTTTGTCTGTCTCAGACGACTCTGATAATGTCGCGCAGGTGAGATGTGTAACGGATGTGTAACGTAAGGGGGTGGGGGAGGGAGGGGGAGGAGGGGGAGGAGGGGGAATAGGGGGGAATGGGGGTGTTCAGGGTGGGTGGCGGATCTCCATCACCATGCCCATCACCATCCCCATCACCATCCCCATCACCAAGGCCCCCTCATCCCATGCTCCGACCACGCTTCCTCCCAGTCCACTCGCAGTGTGCCCAACGACTTCATCGGGTGCTTCAGCCTCGCCTCCTCCCCCAGTGGCCTCCTGATCGCAACGGTCGGTCGCCTCCCCCAATCGCCTCCTGATGCTATTCGCCTCAGCCCGTGCACCCGAAACCCTGAAGCCCGTGCATCGACCCTGTCAGCCCTCAGGGTTTCGGGTTTAGGCGTTTAAGGATTTAGGGTTCAGGCGGTTCAGGGTTCAGGGTTTAGGCGGTTTAGGGTTTAGCATTTAGGCGGTTCAGGGTTTAGGCCCTCCATCTCCTCAGTTTATTCTTGTGCGACTTTTACGACTGACATGTCATGTCATCATGTGGCTGTTTGAGGGACCTGATCTCATCTCACCTCACTTCCGTGTTGATGTCTTTTATGCTGGCCCTCCTGCCTTGCTGCCTGCCTTGCCTCCTGACCTCCCCCTTTTTTTAGGCTCCTCAAAAGTCATCATGTGACAGTTTAATGCACCCTCATCTCATCTCACCTCACTTTCGTGTTGATCGCTTTTCTGCTGGCCTCCCTGCCTTGCTGCCTGCCTTGCCTCCTTACCTCCCCCCCTGCAGGTTCGGGACATGGCTCGGCATCTGAAGGACGACATGTACACCAAGTGAGTGCTTCTTGGTCCGGCCAAACCTGTTTACAATCTTGGGTGAAGGCACTTGCGTCTTTCCCTCACCTGTTCACTAATTATTACCTCCCCACCCCGCCCCCAGTTTTGAGGCGCCTCAAAACTAGAATCCTGTCAGCGATTTGGTGAAGTCACTTGCATCTCTCCTTCACCTGTGCCCTGTCCACTGATGATTACCTTTCCACTCAACATCAAACCTCTCATCTAAAAATCAACGCTATTAATCAACCCCCACCCGTTTCTCCCGAGTCTTATCACCTTCACCTCCCTCTCCCCCGCACCTTGTGTATTTTGAGTCGACTCAAAATACACCCCCACTCCACCCCAACCCCCACCCGTTTCTCCCGAGTCTTATCACCCTTCACCTCCCCCTCCCCACCCACCTTCACTCCATTCCTCATCCGCCTACCTCCCACCTCCTCTCTCGTCTCTTCACCTCCCAACTCCTCTCTCGTCTCTTCACCTCCCACCTCCTCTCTCGTCTCTTCACCTCCCACCTCCTCTCTCGTCTCTTCACCTCCCACCTCCTCTCTCGTCTCTTCACCTCCCACCTCCTCTCTCGTCTCTTCACCTCCCACCTCCTCTCTCGTCTCTTCACCTCCCACCTCCTCTCTCGTCTCTTCACCTCCCACCTCCCTCCTCCCACCTCCTCTCTCGTCTCTTCACCTCCCACCTCCTCTCTCGTCTCTTCACCTCCCACCTCCTCTCTCGTCTCTTCACCTCCCACCTCCTCTCTCGTCTCTTCACCTCCCACCTCCTCTCTCGTCTCTTCACCTCCCACCTCCTCTCTCGTCTCTTCACCTCCCACCTCCTCTCTCGTCTCTTCACCTCCCACCTCCTCTCTCGTCTCTTCACCTCCCACCTCCTCTCTCGTCTCTTCACCTCCCACCTCCTCTCTCGTCTCTTCACCTCCCACCTCCTCTCTCGTCTCTTCACCTCCCACCTCCTCTCTCGTCTCTTCACCTCCCACCTCCTCTCTCGTCTCTTCACCTCCCACCTCCTCTCTCGTCTCTTCACCTCCCACCTCCTCTCTCGTCTCTTCACCTCCCACCTCCTCTCTCGTCTCTTCACCTCCCACCTCCTCTCTCGTCTCTTCACCTCCCACCTCCTCTCTCGTCTCTTCACCTCCCACCTCCTCTCTCGTCTCTTCTGTTTCTCGTTTCTCCCCTTTCGCCCCCTTTTCGGCTCAGATCGTTCAAGGCTGCTCAGATCGTTCAAGGCTGCGCAGGCCAACAAGTGGGGCCATTTGCCCCTCCTCTCACTCCCCTCGCACTTCCCCTCCCTCCCTGCCTCCGTCCCTCCCTCCCTGCCTCCCTGCTCCCCATTCCTCTCCAGGTCATTCAAGGCAGCGGTGCAGCTCTTCTGGACAGCAGGTCAACGAATGAGTTCCATAGCTCCTCCTCCTCCTCCTGCTGCTGCTGCCGCAACTTCGTCTGCTGCAGCCTCTGCCATTACTCCTCCTCCTCCTCCCAGCACCCCTCCCAACCCCCTTGTCTCCCACCTGCTGCGCTGCTGGGGAGCGCCGAGGAGAGGCAAGGGGGCAACAGCCAGGAGAGCACGGGAGATGACAGCATGGGAGCTGGCAGTCAGGTCCTCCCTTCGCCGACTGGTACAGGGCTGCTCCTCCTGCTGCTGCTGCTCCTCCTGCCGCCTCTCCGTTTCCCCCGGCCCCCCTGACAGCACAGGAGCTCGCTTTCACGACCACGTGCAGCAGGTTGCACAACCCAGCCATCCACCGCCTCCCTTCATTCCCTGGGACCTCCTCTCCTCCCTTTTCGCCCTCGCCAAGCAAGCTGCTTCCCTTCCTGCCAATGCCACTGCCACTGCCACTGCCACTAGCGCTGCAACTGCCACTGGTGGCAGCTCCATTGCCCTCTCCCTTCCATCTGCCAGCCTAGCCGCCTCTCTCCACTCGCCCCTCTCCCTCCTCCTCTCTCTCCTTCTTTCAGAGGTCGTTCCCTGCCCCCTCTCCCGCTCCGCTCTCTCCCACCTGCTCCTTGGGAGCTCATTCCTTCCCTCGGCTGAAGCCGTTGGGAATCAAGCCAACGGGAGCAGCATTGGCCAGCATCACCAGCAATCACAGCAGGAGCAGGAGCCGCGAGCACCAGTAGATGTAGAGGAGGCTCTACGGAGCCTTTCAACCAGGCAGCTGCAGGTGCTATCCACTCTCCTCCGGCAGTTGCTCAGGATGGTTTGTGGCACAACCCCTAGCAACCACCCGCAGCAGCAGCAACAGCAGCTGATCTTCTATGAAGCCGAGTCTCCCTCCTCATCCTCCTCATCCTCGTTCCTCCTCTCCCGTCTGCTCCCTCCCTCCGTCTCCTCCAAGCAAGAGGCACTGCCTCAGAAAAGTCAGGTTCAGGTTCAGCAGCCGGGGCTGCAAGGGCACGAGGTAATACGAGGTGCTGAGAATCCGAGGACTCAGGTGCAGCGGTTGCAGGGGGGGGTCACTAGGTTGGAGCTGGAGGTGCAGCAGCGGCTGGCGATGTCTGTTATATTCACCGCTGCTTTTTGTCACAGTGACAGAAGGGGGGAGCGGGCAGGAAGGGCAGCAGAAAGGGAAGCTGCAGCAGTGGGGGAAGCAGCAGAGGACGAAGCAGCAGAGGACGAAGCAGCAGAGGACGAAGCAACAGAAGCAGCAGAGGACGAAGCAACAGAAGCAGCAGAGGACGGAACAGCAGAGAGGGAAGCAGCAGTAAGGGCATGTGTGGGGCAAGCAGCAGTAAACGCGTGTCAATGGGTGCTTTCTCAAAGCACAAATGTTGCTGCTGCTGCTCCCGCTGCTGCGGCTGGTGGCGGTGGTGGTGCGGATGCTACAAGTGCGGGGCTGAAGAAAGGCGCGTTCGTCTGCACACAAGGGCATACGAGAGCAGATGTCGCACTGCATCCTGTTCTTAAAACCTGTGCGAACGCTTTCGCTCACTGGTACGGCCCTTGTCTAAGCTTTCTCCTTTGGTGGATCCCACGTGATGTTATCTTTCTCCATCCATGTCATCCATTCAATCAGTTTCAATCCATTTGATTCGTCGACTGTAAGGAGCTACAAAACCAACAGATACACCAAATCGCTCTCCCTCTCCTCCTTTCCCTCTTTCTCTCCGCTCCCATCTCCCCCCCCCCCTTCCCTCCCCTCCTCTTTCCAGGTTAGCACCTCCAACCCCAGCCACACCCCGAACCTCCCCCCTCCGCACCCCCCTCTGCCCCGTGATGCTGGAGCCAATCAATGCCGCCCAGACAGCCTGGCAGTGTTTGTCTTGTAGCCGCCGAATCTCCACTGAAGGGATGCTCTGCCTGGACGCATGCCGCCCGTTCTTTCTGCCCCCGGGCAAAGAAAACTTCTGGGTCCGGGCAGAGGCATGGGTAGGAATCTTGAGGGAACCTGAGAAGCAGTCAGTACCTGCTTTCACAAATGCAGCAGAGGTTGTAACTGAAGGGAAGGTGACAACTGCAGGGGAGGTTATATCTGGCATGCAGGTTACACCTGTCTGCCCGTTCTGTGGGGTGCAAGCTGTTGCTCCCTGCCCACGTACTCTCCTGTCACCTTCTTTGATGTAAACACGTGCAGTACTACCTTGCTAAATCAGGCAGTGTCTGGCAGATAGGTTCCATAGTAGCTCCAAATTGCAGCTGGTCCCTTGTGTGTTTGTTACCAGATGTGTTCATACCAACACGTTGTGGTGTAACATTTTCGCCACAGCAGGATGGTCTAGCCTTAGCTATGGCTTGTCAGGGTGCTCAAGCTTTGAACACTATACACAATGTGGCGGGCAACATATTATTAGAGTTTGACATTCAACTCGCTTTTGCAGTTCATACTACTGCAGTCAAGCACAGTTCCTGTACGAATGAGCCGTGTCTGGGCTGGGCTTGCACTGGCTCTGATCAGAGGTCTACTTCTTGAGAGCCGCGTACATGGCATCGATTTGCGCCTGAGGGGTGGGGGGCAGCCAGAGGCAAGTACAAGTGAGAGTGCACGAGCCAGGAGGGAGGAGAGGTAAGACAGGCATGAGCAGAGATCACATCTTAATGGTTTCCAGAGAGACAGAAAAGCACACACCCTCTTGGCAGAGCATTTAACAGCAGCATTTTCAGGGCATGTAGAAACGAACCATCCCATGCAAAGGCTCACATAATTAATAGCGTACTCCAACTTCAGAGCGTTCAGTACCAGGAAACCAACCTCGCAAGTACCGAATCAAACCGCACAGGACTTTGCGTTTCAACAATCGGACCTCGCTGCTTCGCGTTTTAGGCTCGAATTTGGGTTTGCTGGTACTGAACGATGTTCCCTAGGAGTCCGCTTTGCCTGTACAATTTTCCAGAACCCACCTGATAATATTTCAGCAGCTGTGGGCATCAGCAGATCGCCCCTCCCTCTTCAAAGTGAGGGTGAGCAAATTGCAGCGTGCGCTTTCCTTATTGAACGCACCTGGTAATATACCCTTCTCCTGAACCCACCTGGTAGTATTTGAGCAGCTGAGGGCGCTTCTTCTTGAACGTGGGAGTGAGCAGGTCCCTTTCCATGTCGAATTGCTCCGGCTCCAGGTGTACCGCCTTCACCATCTCAAAGCCCTTGAGCTGGTGGGCATATTGTGAGGAGGGGGAGGTGGGGGGGGAGGGAATGAAGTAAGGACGCCTCCCCATGTCGAGGTGATATGACCCCAGGTGCACCGCCTTCACCATCTCAAAGCCCTTCAGCTGGTGGGGGAAAGGGGGAGGGGGGAGCAATCAGCACATGCGAAGAGGGCGGAGTAATGAGAGAGGAGCAGTGAGCAGATCCCTCGCCATGTCAAAGTGCTCCGGCTCCAGATGCACCGCCTTCACCATCTCGGACCCTTCAGCTGGTGGGCACTTTGTGAGGAGGGGAAGGTGGGGGGGGAGGGAATGATGTAAGGTATTTTTGAGAATTCTCAAAAAAACCTCTCCATGTCAGAAGGCTCCGGCTCCAGATGCACCGCCTTCACCATCTTGAAGCCCTTGAGCTGGTGGCGGGTGGGGGGTTGGAAAGGTCAAGGGTTGAACGAACTGGACAGAAAAGCAGCGAGAGAGAGGGACGAGCAGTCAGCAGATCCCTCTCCGAGTCGGAGTGCTCCGGCTCCGCATGCACCGCCTTCACCCATTCGAATCCCTTGAGCTGGTGGGGGGGATAATGCGAGGGGGAGGTGGGGAGAAACGAAGGTTGAAGTCAGAAAGACACCTCTCCATGTCAAAAGGCTCTGGCTCCAGGTGCACCCCGCCTTCACCATCTCAAAGCCCTTGAGCTGGAGGGGGGGTGGGGAGTTCAACGGTTGAAGAAACAGGAGAGGGGATGAGGGAGGATGTATTTGAGAATTCTCAAAAACACCCTGCAAACAGGAGAGGGGATGAGGGAGGAGCAGCGAGCAGGCCCCTCTCCATGTCAAAAGGCTCTGCCTCCAGGTGCACTGCTTTCACCATCTCAAAGCCCTTGAGCTGACGTGCATGTGAGAAGAGAGAGGGGAGAGAGGAGCAACGAGGGAGGAGCAGTGAGCAGCTGCCTCTCCATGTCGAAGTGCTCCGGCTCCAAATGCACCGCCTTCACCATCTCCAAGAACTTCAGCTGGTGGGTGAATGAGGAGGGGTGGATAAGGGGGGGAGGAGGGGGGGGGGGTGGGGGTGTTAGCGGACGAACGGGATGTTAAAAGTGGCGACAAGATTGTGCAAAAGGGATTCCCAATCTCGGGAGATCGCCCTCCTCCATGCTGTCAAATCCCACCTCCCCAGTCCCCCCCACCCCCTCCCCCTGCCATCCTCTCACCTTGGCCTTCTTGCCCGTTTCGCTCAGCTGCCCGATAATATATTTCTTCGCCTCCTCAGTTGCGCACAGGGCAGCATAGTCCCCCTCCACGCCCGCCCCCTTGGCCCACTCCAGGAGGGAGGCTTTGTTGGGCACCACCACTGCCACCAGCACTGCCTCGAAGCTGTTTCCGTACACCCACACCTGGTGAGAGGGGCACGGCACAGTGTGACAGCAGAGGAGATAGGGTGTGAGAGTAGAGGTATGATAGTAAAGGGGTAATTTCTCACCTCTCTCGAAGGTGCTCCTTCCAACCATGTGGGCAGTGGCCGTACAGCAACAGAGAGACACACTCACCATGTCAAGTCAAGAGCCGAGCAGTTGCCAAACACGTTTTCGAGGTTCTCTACAGCCACATAACCCCCCTGCACTAGCTTGCAGGTGAACTTACCATGTTACCGGCGCGGAGAGACGGACCTCGAGCCTCAAGGCGATGTTACCATGTTACCAGCGCGGATGTACAATAACTGAGAGACAGCCTCACCATGTCCAGAGCCGAGCAGTTGCCAAAGACGTTCTCCAGATTCTCCACAGCCACATACTCCCCCTGCGCCAGCTTGAAGATGTTCTTCTTCCGGTCGATGATCTTCATCGAACCATCTGGCTGCCACTCCCCAATGTCCCCCGTGTGGAACCACCCCTCCGCATCCACCGCCTCCTTGGTCAGATCCTCGCGCTTGTAATACCCCGAGAACAGGATCGGCCCGCGGATGCACACCTCCCCACGCGGCGGGTGCGTTTCGCCACCCTCCTCTTGGGCCCCGATGGCGTCGTAGTTCATTTCGGGGATCGACTCCAGGCGCGTTTCTAGCGTGGGCATGGGCGGGCCCACGGTGCCGGCCTGCTCGATTCGATCGGCGTAGGAAATAAACCCGCTGGTGTTGGTCTCAGTCAGACCTGGGGGTTTGGAAAGGGAAGTGGGGAAGGGAGGAATAGGCGTTGGAGTGAGCGTGGGCAAGGGCGGGCCCACAGTGCCGGTTTGCTCGATGCGGTCAGCATAGGAAATAAACCCGCTGGTGTTGGTCTCAGTCAGACATGGGGGTTTGGGAGAGAGGAAGTAGGGAATGGGGCAGGGGGGGCTGCGAGATGAGGGTTTCGAGCGCGGGCATGGGCGGGCCCATGGTTCCGGCTTGCTCGATAGTGATGAGACCGCTGGTGTTGGTCTCAGTTAGGCCTGGCGAATTTCGAGAGGGGGAAAGGAAGGAGCAGGTGGTTAGGGCGTTAATGCAGGATGAGAGCCGTTAGTGCGGGAAGGGGTGGGTCGACAGTCCCAGCTTGTTCAATGCGGTCTGCGGAGGAAAGGAAACCTATGGGGTATGCGGTCTGCGGAGGAAAGGAAACCTATGGGGTATGCGGTCTGCGGAGGAAAGGAAACCTATGGGGTATGCGGTCTGCGGAGGAAAGGAAACCTATGGGGTATGCGGTCTGCGGAGGAAAGGAAACCTATGGGGTATGCGGTCTGCGGAGGAAAGGAAACCTATGGGGTATGCGGTCTGCGGGAGGAAAGGAAACCTATGGGGTATGCGGTCTGCGGAGGAAAGGAAACCTATGGGGTATGCGGTCTGCGGGAGGAAAGGAAACCTATGGGGTATGCGGTCTGCGGAGGAAAGGAAACCTATGGGGTATGCGGTCTGCGGAGGAAAGGAAACCTATGGGGTATGCGGTCTGCGGAGGAAAGGAAACCTATGGGGTATGGGGTCCGGTGTTGGTCTTGGTTGAGCCTGGAGCGGGTGCTTGGCAGGGGAGGGGGGGAAGGGGGGGGGTATTAGAGACTTGAAGCCGGTGTCTAGGGTGGGCATGCATGGGTCCACGGCGCCGACCTGCTCAATGAGGTCGGCCTAGGGAATGAAACCGCTGGTATTGGTCTCGATTAGGCCTGGGGGTTTGGAAGGCAACGTTCCGGGGAGGGTCGACCTCATTTCGATCTTTCTCCCTTGCTTCCTTCTGTGCCTATCGCACTCACAATATCCCTGCACCGCACCACGTGGCAGCGCATGGCGATCTTGAGAAACGCCTCCATAGGCGGGGCCAAAGGGGCCACACACTATCCCTCACTCTATCGCTCTGTTGAATTCCCCTGGTTTGAATAGCAGGCCCACCATACCCTTGCATTGATCACTCTCACCGTAGCCCTGCACCACGGGGCAGCACATGGCGATCTTGAGGAGCTCCTCCACATGGGGAGCTAACGGGCCAAGACACTATTCCCCACTCACTCACACTTGCCAAGTCCCTTCGGACTGAATCACCCACTCACCGCATCCCTTGCTCCACTCGACTCACCGTAGCCCTGCACCACGGGGCAGCACATGGCGATCTTGAGGAACTCCTCCACATGGGGGGCTAGAGGAGCAGCACCTGAACAGATGATCCGCACATTCCCGCCCAAGCGCGCCTTGATCTGTGGGAGAAGGATGGACGTGGGAGGCGCAGAAGGAGAGGGGTAAATAAAAAAAGCATGCTCAGGGCGGCGCGTGAGCAGATGATCCGCACGTTCCCACCCAGACGCGCCTTGATCTGGGGGAGACAGAAACGGGCAGAGAGACATAGGAGAAAGGGCGGAGAGAGAGCAGGGAGGATGGGAAGGTAAAGTTTAGAGGATGAGGGGCCTGAGGCTCGTACCAGGTCATGTTTCTTTTCAGCCGCCTCAATAATAGACTCCTCATGAAGGCGAGGGGACTGAGGCTCACACGTGGGCAAGTTCTTCTTCTAACGAGAGCTTTATTTGACTCCTCGCGCTGAGATGGGAGTGGGAGAGGTGACTTTTGAGTCGACTCAAAACTCACGCTGAGATGGGAGTGGGAGAGACCTGAGCCCGAGGCAGGGAAAGTGGTGCAGAAGCAAGTGATTGAAAGTGTCCGAGATGGGGGTGAAGATGAGGGGAAGATGAGGGGAAGATGAGGGGGAAGATGAGGGGAAGATGAGGGGGAAGATGAGGGGAAGATGAGGGGGAAGATGAAGGGGAAGATGAGGGGGAAGATGAGGGGAAGATGAGGGGGAAGATGAGGGGGAAGATGAGGGGGAAGACGAGGGGGAAGATGAGGGGTGAAGATGAGGGGAAGATGAGGGGGAAGATGAGGGGGAAGATGAGGGGGAAGATGAGGGGGAAGACGAGGGGGAAGATGAGGGGGAAGACGAGGGGGAAGATGAGGGGGAGAAGACCTCGAGAAACGTCCGTACATGCAGGCTAAAGGAGAGCCTCTCAACCACCAACCAATGCAATAGGACATCAGAAGGTGTGTGCAATCTAAGAGAGATGCAGCGAATATATTGGGTTCTTCCACATCATTTGAAGACAGCGGCATTGAATATGGGAGAGTCATCGTGGATCTTCATGTTGTAATATATCTATATAACAACATCCATGTGCTAGAATAGGGGGTGTAGTCATTTCACTTATTGGGGGGTTGTTGGTTGGGTTCACCAACCACGATTAGGGTTTTTCCAACCAAATAGTCCCAAGGCTCAACCAATCAGCAACCACCACACTTTGTGGTTTCCTCCCCTCCTACCAATCTCTCCCATTGGCTCCCTTTCAACCTTTCCTTTGCTCCTTGCTTGTACTATAGAGCCTCTTGGCTCCCTTCCTAATTCATTATTTTCTCTCCAAAGTTGGATGTTTCACTTCAGACCCGCAGCCAGCCTGGCTTACTTGCAACCATAGCCGAAGTTTTTCTTGCACTAACACACCCTTCCCCCCCACCCCCTCACCGTATTGAAGACGATGGCATCGGATATGGGCGTGGCGTGGTGGATCTTCACCCCCGCAGCCAGCCTGGCTTGCTTGCGGCCATAGGCAAAGTCAAAGAGCAGCTTGGTGAGACCACCCGTGGACTCGATCTTAGAAAAGACGGCTGGGGCAGTAGAGTGAAGAGGCAAGTGACAGCAGGAAGGAGAGAGTGAGGTTGCGGCATATGAGCCTGGCTGGCTGTTTGGCTTGCTCGCGGCCATAGGCGAAGTCAAAGAGCAGCTTGGTGAGACCGCCCGTGGACTCGATCTTAGAGAACACAGCTGGTAGATGACAGACGAAGGTCAGAGAGACAGGAAGACGGAGGAGGGAATGAGGGTGGGGACATGGGCCTGGCTGGCTTGCTTGCGGCCATAGGCGAAGCCAACGAGCAGCCGGGTGAAAAGACCGCCTGTGGGCTCATTGAACACAGATGAGGGGAGTGGGATGGATGGATGAAGGAGTGGGATGGATGGATGAAGGAGTGGGATGGATGGAGGAAGGAGTGGGATGGATGGATGAAGGAGTAAGAGGCAGAAAAACGGAGAGCAAGCGATCGGCTTTCAGGAGCCTCACGTCCTGGTGGCCTACCCCAGTAAAAGCACACCCCAGTAAAAGCACACCCCAGTAGAAGCCTACCCCAGTTGAGGCCTACCCGAGTGGATACGGTCGAAGATGCGAGGCACCCCACAGAAGAAGGTTGGCTTGAGGGCCTCAAGATCGGCTGTCAGTAGTTTGACGTCCTGGCGGACAGGAGGGGAAGGAAGGGATGAGGGGAAGGGAGAGACAGTGCGAGAATATGAGAGTGAGGATACGAGAGTGTGAGGATGCGTGTGTGAGGGTTGGCTTGAGGGGCCTCGAGATCGGCTGTCAGTAGGTTCACGTCCTGATGGGCAGGAGGGGAAGAGGAGGGAAGGGAGGGAAGGGAGGGAAGGGAGGGAAGGGAGGGAAGGGGAAAGAAAACAAAGGGACGGAAGATGAGAGTGCAGGGAAGCAGGGGAGATAGGAATTTAAAGTGAATTATATCTGAGCATGTTTTGTCTATATGTGCAAGTTGTTGCATGTTTGTTTGTATGTGCAAGCTGAGGACGTGAATTGCTTACCCTTTCACATCGACCCCTTGGTACCGCATCTCACCCCGCATTACCGCGTCTTCTCACCCCGCATTGCCGCATCTCACCCCGCATTACCACATCTCACCTCGCATTACCGCATCTCACCCCGCATTACCGCATCTCACCTCGCATTACCGCATCTCACCCCGCATTACCGCATCTCACCTCGCATTCCCGCGTCTCACCCCGCATTACCGCATCTCACCCCGCATTACCGCATCTCACCTCGCATTCCCGCGTCTCACCCCGCATTACCGCGTCTCACCCCGCATTACCGCATCTCACCTCGCATTACCGCGTCTCACCTCGCATTACCGCATCTCACCTCGCATTACCGCATCTCACCCCTTGCCAGAAGCCTATGCAGCCGCCGACGTGCGTCATGAGCTCCTCGGCCACGCGGTCGAATATGTGAGCGAGAGGCAGGTAGGAGATGTAGCTGTCCGCTGGGGTGAGCTGGGAGATAAAAGGCAGGGGAGGGGAGGGGGGGGAGGAGGCCGGAAGGGAGGGGTTTGACAATGCATCCCACGTGCGTCATGAGCTCCTCTGCCACGCAGCCAAAGATATGCAGAGGGGAGGTAGGAAAGGGGGACAGGGAGAGGGGGGGGAGAGGAGGGGGGAAGGGAGGGGTTTGACAGAGCATCCCACGTGCGCCATGAGCTCCTCTGCCACGCGGTCAAAGACATGCGCCAAGGGGATGAGGAGGATAGGGAGGGGGAGGGGGGGGCCTAGTTCAGCCGCCGACGAGCGTCATGAGCTCCTCTGCCACGCGGCCCAAGATGTGCGCCAAGGGCAGGTAGGAGATGTAGCTGTCGGCTGGGGTGAGCTGGGATTGGGGAGAGGGGAACAGGCAGGGGCACGGATGAGCATGAGGCATCAATCAAACAACATGCGCCAAGGGCAGGTAGGAGGTGCATGCATGTACATGTGTGCTGGGGTGAGCTAACGGGGGAGAGGAGGAAAATAGGTGGCGGAACCAATACCCATGACAAATCGCAGAATATACAAGCCTCTTCCCCCCCCCTTACTCACCACACAGTAGTTGTACTCGCAGAAGTCTTTGTGCCCGACACAACAGCGGTTAGACTCCTTACACTAACATGCATAACATTACACACCCTCATCCCACCCCCTTCGTGTCCCTCCCCTTCCCTCCACTCACCACACAGTCGTCGTACTCGCAAAACAACTTGGTGTCAGCCATAGCAGCGGTTAGACTCCTTACAATGACATGCAGCAACCGCACCACCCTACTCGCTGACACCTATTCAAACCTCTCCCCCTTCCTCCCACCTCTCTCCCCCTTTTCTCCCCCCTTTCCCCCTCCTTTCCCCCCCTTCCCCCCCCTTCAATCTACTCACCACACAGTCGTTGTACTCGCAAAAGCGCTTGGTGCCCGCCACAGCCGTGGCCAGGGCATGATTCGTTATAAGCACGCCCTTGGGCTCACCGGTGGTGCCTGTTGATCAGAGAAGGGGCACAGACAGACAGACAGACAGACAGAGGGCAAGGCTGGGACAAGCGAGCGGCTAAGGGTCGACAGCAGGAGAGAGGGAAAAGACAGACGGGGAATATTAGAGCATGATTGGGTCGGGAACGCCTGAGGTGTGCTCGAGAAGACACACAGCGCTCATGAGCCATGCATGACACAGCAGCTGAACCCACCTGAACCCACCTGAACCTACCTGAGCTGTATCTGAACCGGCCTGAGGTGTTACACCAGGCGGAACCTGAAGAAACACCTGGCCTCACCTGAGGAGTGCATCGACTAGCACCTGAACCCACCTGAGGTGTACATAATGGTGCAGATATCCTCGGGCTTTGAGGGTGATGGATCCACTGGCTTTGCCTCGCCCTGTCCAGCACAGGAAGGATGAAGGCGGAGTGGAATACAAGGGACAGGGATCAAAACCAGCCTGAACTTCGGAAAGGGGGGTGATGGAACTGACCAGCATTGACTCGCCGCTTTCAGGAAGTCGTCCTAGGCTCCCAGCTGACCCCCTAATGCCAACGTCCGACAGAGCCTTGGCTGAAGCATACAGGGACTCGTATTGTCCAGCATTGGCTTCAGCTGACCAACGTTGACCAGCGTTGACTCACCTCTTAAAAAAAGTCGCCCCAGCTCACTCCCCTGATACCCAGGTCTGGCAGAGCCTGGGCTTACGTTGACCTATGTTGAACAGCATTGACCAGCATTGACCAGCGTTGACTCACCTCCTTCAGAAAGTCATCCCAGCTCACTCCCCTCATTCCGAGGTCCGACAGAGCCTTGCTTGAATCAGCATCCAGCGGCCCCATGCTCACAACGGCTGCCACGCAGAGAAGGGAGGAAATGCGAAGGGTGAACGGGTAGAGCTTGGGGTGGGGAGAGGGAGTTGGGGTGCTGACTAGGTGATTTTTGAGTCGACTCAAAAATCACCTACGGGGGGAAACGCGAAGGGTGAACGGGTAGAGCTTGGGGGTGGGGAGAGGGAGTTGGGGTGCTGACTAGCTCATCCCTTCTCTCCCCCCAAAGCCAGGTCTGACAGGGTCTTGGCTGAATGCGTATCCAGTGCTCCCATGCTCACAACAACAGCTGATGAAGAGAGGGAAGCAGGGGTACAGAGATCGATTTGCGAGGAAAAAGAGGGATAAGGAGCAAGACAATGGCTAATACCTATTGGGATGCGAGGAAAAGAAGTGTCGATAATGCACAGGCTTCAGTTTCTATGAGATTTGAAGAAGGGAGTGGCTGTGGCTTTCTCTTACTCTTGACGAATTCAGTGCACTTGGGCAGGCTCTTCAGCAGCTGGGGGTGAGGGGCGCAGGGAATGCAGAAACAAGGTCGCAGGAAAAACGTAAGGTGAATTTGAGTTGACTCAAGAGGTGGGCTCTTCAGGAGGTGGAGCGGCACAGGAAATGCACGGCGGGGTGGGAAGAAAGATACGATACGTGCGAGAAGGGGTGAATGCAAGAGGATCGGCAGGCGATATTATTTGAGTCTTGTGATGGCAGCACGAAAAGGCTCCTTTGACTGAAAGACTCAAGCTCGCATGGGAAGTGCGTTGTAGGCACCACAATGCTCCAATGACTCACAGCGGGCAGCTTGGCTGCTTGAACCACAACAAGAGACACTTCTGCATGGTTGAGAATGAAAGAAACTGCCTCCGCTCCTGTATAAAGACACAGCGAGAGGAGACAAGGAGAAACACATGATAAATGGAGATTGTGGAAGTGGTTGAGAATGAGGGAACTGCCTCGGCTCCTGCATAAAGAGAGAGGAAGAGGAGAGACGGAGAAAGCAGTGGAAACGGGGACAGGGAAACGCGAGAGGGGACGAGGAGGATTGACAGAGACACTTTAGACCGCAAAGAGGCGACACCGCTTTTGAGTTGACTCAAAAGCACACAGGAGGGGATGAGGAGGATTGATAGAGACACTTTAGACAGACGTGACACTCCTCCTCGCACTCTCAAAGAGCTTACCCAGTGTATTGTACAGTGGCATACACTGCTTGGACTGCCAGTTGCACCTTCTGTGCACTCCTCCTCTTGTCACACTCAGCATTCCCCTCCCACTCTCCTCCCACTCTCCTCCCACTCTCCTCGCACTCTCCTCGCACTCTCAAAAGAGCTTGCCCGGTGTATCATACAGTATCGATGACATGGCACACATGGCAAGAACTGGCGCCACCAAACCAGCATCAATTTCCTTCTTCCATGTGTTTCGCATACTCTCTATTGACTCACCCAGTATATCGTAGAGGGGCACGCACTGCATGGAGTGCCAGGTGCACGTTCCGTGCACCCTCTCTTCACACTCCTAGCACTCTCCTCGTACTCTCTATTGACTCACCCAGTGTATCGTACAGAGGCACGCACTGCATGGACTGGCAATTGCAGGCCTGGAGGAATGATCGGGGGTTGAGTTGGGTTGGGGGTAGAGAAGAGTGAGAACGCGAGGCGTGTGCATTGGTTGGAGCAAGAAGGATGGGAAGAGAGGCTCACTCACGCACATGGGAGAAGGAAAGGGAGTACGGGAGAAAGAAAAGGAGTACAGGAGAAATACATGAGAGAGAGAGAGTAGTAATACACGGACCGCTTGAGAGATTAGTGAGAGCTATTGCAGGCTAGGACCCCTGCTGCTTGCATCAACATGCTTGCTTGTACTCACCACAGCCGCCTAGCATGCACCCAAGTTGCCAGCAATAAAGGACCGTTCGAGGGAGCTTCCCACACCCACGGCCTCCCTGCTCACACGTACCTCCACAGCCATGAACCACTCGGGCGAGTTGTTGCCATAGATGGGAAGGAGCGACCTGTAAGCGATGGGGCCCTTCTTTTACCGCCCAATGGGAATCCCATTGACAAGGGGCCCTTCTGTTACCCCCCTCGTCGCACGCGTACCTCCATGGTCATGAACCACTCGGGCGAGTTGATGCCATAGATGCCGACCTTGGCGTTCTGAGGGGGGAAAGGAAGAGGAGAGGGGCAGGGGGGGATACAGGTGGGAATGAGGTGGGATAGAGGTGGAAGGGGGATGAGAGAGGCGTGGGAAGGAGTTGAAATGGGAGCGATATCGTGAAGGACAAGTTTGGCATTCTGGTCGGAGACAAGAGATCCCCCTTCCAGTCCCCTCCATCCCCTCTCCCATACAGAAAACAGACTTACCGCATCCAGGCCAGCGGCGCGGTACGCGGACCCCAGCTTCAGCACCTTGGCATGCACCTCTGCATATACGTGTGTTCCATACCCATTACCACAGCCCCTACGTGAACCCCCCACCCCCCCAAGCCCCCCAGCCCCCCCGATCCCCCTTACAGGAAAATCAGACAACTCACAGCGTCCAGGCCAGCAGCGCGGTACGCGGACCCCAGCTTCAGCACCTTGGCATGCACCTCCGAGTATGTGTCCCACTCGAAGGGACCCGCCTGGGGAGTGGAGGAGTGGAGGAGGGAAGGGGGCAGAGGGACGCTAGGACGGAAATGTGAGAGAGCAAGGAGGAAAGGGAAAGAGGACAATGAAACGGAGGAGAAAGGAGAAACGGAATGGGGAAGCACAGCATGCCAGCTTCCAACACGACCAGCTGCTACAGGGCAATCTGTTACAGGGCGATCCGTTACAGGGCAACCCATTACACTAGAGTTAGGTTGACGTGAGATCACCTTGCCATCCACAATCGAGCGCTTCCCGAGAAACTTATTGTCGCCGAATTTCTCCACAGAGGTCCTGAAAGCCACGTGGAGAGATATTATTGGATGAACGGGAGAAACGAGCCCTCATATCTGTCACAATTCCGTGTGCAATGAATAAGTAAAAGGAAAAATCGCTGGCAAAGATGGCATCCAATGACTGGTCGACACTTTGCAAGATCATGAAGTATGAGACGAGCAGAGATGAACAGAAATGAACACAAAAGGGAGACGGTTCATGAGGTATGTCCAAGAGGTCGGAATTCACGATGACGGAAGAGGGGAGAGGGAAGTGTAATGAAGCGGAACCCACTTGAAGAGGTCCCACATGGTGTCGATCCCTGGCCCTAAATTGACATACTCGTCCTTGGCGTACACGCTGCGATATGTGGGGCCTGAACGGAGGAGCAAGGCGCGAAGAAAAGAAGGAGGACACACTTGAGTGAATCCCACATGATGCTATTTCCTGGGCCCGAACTAGCATACGCATCTTAAAGCCAGGGGCCCAAGTTTCTAGAACCTGGGGCAAGTGTTTTACAGTTGGTTGGGAAAAACCAGGTTTTGTGTCGTGGGGGTGCGTGAATTGCAACACTCGCAGGCGATTTCACTGGTGCCTACAGCTCGCCAGCCAATCAGTAGTTTTAGTCCCAACCAACTGTTTTACAGTTGGTAAACTTGGGTCCCTGGCTCAAGGACGGGGAGCAGAAAGGAGGAATGAAGAGTTAAGAACGGAGAAAGGAAGGGGGGAGGATGGATGGATAGCGCGACGGACTTGCCTTTCGAGGCGCTTCCTTCAGTCGCGGGTACGGCGTCCGCAACCTTGTGCAACCACTTCCCCGGACCGACGTCCAGATTTTCCGCCATATTTTTCTTCGACTTTTAATGATAATGGACTACCGGATAACACGGCGACGAGAATCTATGCAAGTGGAAGATCTATGTGCCAGGAGACTGGCTCACACCGAAAGGAAATGCAGCTGAAATAATGGAGAAATGCAATGCTAGCAAGTCAAAGAAACGGAAAGTAGGATTTGCTTGACATTTCAGAGACATTGGTTGTCAGATACGGATTCAATGAGTTACAGCCTTCGGTTCGGCTCGGTGCAGTAGGTTCGGAAGCTCTTCGTTCTGGCGCTGTGTAGCGCATGTTGCAACCCAGCAGGGCTGAAATGGGACAAGATGGCTTGAAGGATGCCTACGCCATTTGATTTGGTTCATAACATTTTTGGTTCGGTGCAGCTTGGTGAAGTGAGACATTTCTGACATTCTGCCTGAAATTGCTGACATCCGCCTAACCTGGCTCCAGGTTGGAGGGAGCCTGTTGAAGGTGCTGACGGAATCTTGGGAATGCCGCACAGCTTGCATGGACAGCACGAAAGCCTGCGTCAGCAAGGTCCCTCAGCAGCTTGAGAGTAAACTCAGGGATTGTTTTAAAAGTTACCTCCTGAGATAGTGTCATCCGAGAATGCTGGAAACCCATCGTAACCGTTAATTTTAAACTTCAACGGTTGCGATGGGTTTCATTCTTGGATGACACTTTCTAGGGATGACATCTACTGAAAACAAGCCCTTTGGGAAAGCTTCAGCAAATGCGTTTGACGTCACGATGTTGTGTACAAGAAAATTGTGGTTGCTTACCAATGAGAAGCCAAAACCCTATAGCGGAGCGTGCAAAGAACGTACAGGTTATATTCCCTGAGAGCCCGGGGGGCGACGCGAGAGATTTCCCTTTTGACAAATACTGGCCGTACGATAGGGGCAACGTGGACTATGTGGTTTTCCCAGGAAATGGGGCTTTTTTTTGTGTACTGTGCATAGGTGGCTTGACTGGCGTATGCAACGACTGAGTAAACATCGCCACGTCGCAAGCCTCTCCACCTGTGTATCAACTCCGTGTTTCAAGCAGGTCTCTAGATAACCTAGGGGTCACCCTGCAACTCCTGGCAATGACAGGGGAGCTTGTTTTTTTCTAGGGGTGCGGAACTCTACGTTAGATTTTTCAGGGTGAGTCCATCCCCTACTCAAAAATCGGTCGTGGGATGATTTTGGCTTGCCTGTCAATGGATGGGTATTGATATTCTGAAGGCGTCAAAAACAGGGCTAGGTCAAAATTTTACCCTATTTTCCTTGACAAAGCAGTGTAATTACCCTGACTTCCGGAGGCCAGGTTTAATGAGAATGCCACATTCCGTGGCGCTCTCCTTGGCGCGTTCCTATAGGCTGTGGATAGACGGATTTTCCTAGGGCAACGCCGACGGATTCCGTTGGTGTTGCAAGCGTAATTCTACTGGACCGTCAGTGAGCTGATGGATTTTTTGCCTCGACATTGGTTGGCGAGACTGACACATCTGGATTTTTAGAGGCTCGCCGACCACTAGGGGTTGTCTCTCTGAAAACACAAGAGATTGGACGGCCTTCGAAAATCCGAATCGACTGTCTAATTTACTGTTCAGTTGAGACGGCTACACTTTGCGTACAAGGAGAGGCCCTTAAGGATAAAATGCCTATGGAATACTCCTGGGCGTAAAAGGAGGTCGTCTACAAGGCATATGACTTGTACAAGCCTGCCAAGTTGTGGGAAAGGTATATTCTGGCCGCATCCGCCCTGCTTCCGCCTTCATGAGAGGAACTGCACACCTCCTTGCCAAACCTCCACGGTTTGCGGGAAAAGGGGGAGGTTTTCACCCTGCGCGTGGTTTGGTGGGGCTAAGGAACCAATCAGATCTTTCGTGTGGGGCGCTCCATACGCTCTGTAGTTTTCGCAGAGCCCTTCGCGTGAAGGAGGCTGGCGAAATGCGACATCAGTCCAGTCATCGTCGACGAGATGGTAACGTAACTGGAGTTTTCGTTCGGGTGTGGGCGACCCAATAACCCTGGATCAGCTGCCGCCAAACTCACCTTGCGCGGAACAGCCAGCTTCATCCGCCCCGCTTGCGCCTTTCCGCGCAAACAGGGGCGATTTACAGGGCCACTCCCTGCGACTTGTGCGACACAAAGCGCCGCCGCCGCAGCAGAGCACCCCCATCCCATTCTCATTCGCATTCGCATTTGAATTCGCATTCGCTCGCCTGCGCATGTGTCCAGCCAAGTGCGCACTGGTTGCCCCTCACACCTCCGCGCATGCGGAATACCGCCCGTTTCCTCCCCTGTTTCCCCCCTCCCACCCAATCCCATCCCGAATCTTTCCTCCCCCTCGCCTTCTTCTAGATGCTTCTGCGGCGTCGCTAAGTCGCTCGCGAGAGATCTTGCGTCTTCTCTTCTCTCCCCTGCGACAAACCACTGTCTTGAAGCCTGCCCTTTCAAGGTTGGTTTGACCCCCTTTCAGCTGATCTCTCACAGCTTGCTAGCTTCTCGTTCCTCCATTCGCGTTTCTTTAGAGCCCGCTTCTTGCATCCCGCACAGCTACTTCTTAATTACGGATGATACAGCTTCTGGCAACACGAGCAGAATTCGGTTCGAGCGAGCGTTATACAAGTATCACATCCCGTTCTCTACACTTCCGCTTCCTTGTCGTTGACTTGTCGTTGACTTGTCCTTCTCGTCGTCGCAGTCTTGAAGCCACGCGCTCCATCTCGCCTGCCCCGCACCGTTCACCCGCATCGCCCCGCCAACTAGCATAGCGCCTTCTCTTGTCGTGAACACATCGCCGTCGTCATTTTGAAGCAACGCGCTCCATCCCGCCAGCGCAGCACCGTTCACCCGTATCACTTCGTCAACTAACATAGCGCCTTATCCGCCCCGCTCCGCCAATCCGCATAGCGCCCTTTTTGGCTAGCTCCGCCAATCAGCCTCGTACCTCGCTCCGCCAATCAGCATAGTGCCTCGCTCCGCCAACCAGCATAGCGCCTCGCTCCGCCAATCAGCATAGCGCCCTATCTTGCCCGTTCCGCCATGTCGGCCGGGTGCGGCGGCGACGGCGGAGGAGTGGAGGTCCTTTCGTCCCCCCATTTCACCAACCACTTGCGCCTTCCCCGCGTGCGCTGCCCGCGCGGCGGTCTCTCCCGCGGAACCGTCGGCAGCAGCCCGCGGATGGGGCGGAGCCGTTCCTCCCCTCGCCTGGCCTCTCCGCGCACTCCGCGCCGCCGGACGGGCCGCCTTTCCGCGGGCGCCGCGATGGCGTTTTTTAACACGTGTCGCTCCCCTACTAGCCCGACCTTTGCCACGTTCTTTCAGCTACAGCAGCAGCTACAGCAGGAGATACAGCAGGGGATTCATCAACAGCAGCAGCAGCAGAACGCGCTGCTACCTGCCACGTGGCGGCCACTGTCGCCAGCTCCCGTTGGCGGCGGCGGCGGCGGCAGCGGGGGAGGGGAGGGAAGCAGTGGTGCGGCGAGAAGCGGCGCGGATGCGGAGTATAGCGCGATGGTGAATGAGGAGCTGCTGCTGTTCTTCTATCGGATGGACCTAAACGCGCGGCTCGAGGTAGGACGCCGTATGGGCGCAAGTACGTCGCAGGTCGGGCGCAGGTGGAGCGTGGGATGGGCGCAGGTGGTTTGCGCACAGGAGAATGGTAGCGCACAACCTTTCCCCTTGTTCTTCCCCAGCTCCCCCTTTCCCCCCTCTGCCCCTCGCTGCCCTTACGCTGCCCCCGCGCTCCTTCCCCGGCCCCCCGCCATTAATCCGCGCTTCCCCCTTCCTCCACCGCGCTTCCCCCTTTTTCCCATGCGCGCAGAGGGCGCTTCAAGCGGACCAAGACGAAGCGGTGCAGGAGCTAAGGAAGAAGATAGCGGAGATAGACGAGAGACGCCCCCCCGAACCACTCCCCTCCCCCCCCTTTTCCCCTCCCCCGCCCCTCCCCCTTCAGAGGGCGCTCCAGGCGGACCAATACGAGGCGGCGCAGGAGCTAAGGGAGAAGATAGCGGAGATAGACAAAGAGACAGTCTTCGCTTCACCCCCCCTTCTCCCCCCCCTCTTCCCCCCCCCGCTTCACGACCCCCCCCCCCCCCCCTCTCTTCCCTCCCCCTCCCGCCATCTTCCAGACAGCCCTTCAAGCGGACCAAGACGAGGCGGCGCAGGAGCTAAGGGAGAAGATAGCGGAGATAGACAGAGAGACGCTGCGCCAAAGAGACGCCAAAGCCGCCATCTCCTTCCCCTCCGCCTCCGCCTCCGCCTCCGCCTCCCCCTCCCCCATTGCCTGCGCCACCAGCTCCGCCACCCCCGCTCCCGCCGCCGCTTCCCCTTCCCCTTTTGCGGAAAGTGCCACTGAGGTTAGAGGAGACGCCGTAGCTGACGTCAGCAGCAGTTACGGGATGCCGCCATTGGTGGAGGATGGCCCTCTTTCAATGCATGCTCTCAGGTGGGCCTTTCCGCCCTTGATCCCCTTGCCCCCTTTGCTCCCCCCCTGTCCCCCCTTGCGCCTCCTTGCTCCCCTTGCCCCCCCTTGCCCTCTTTTCCCCCCCTTGCTCCCCGTGCTCCCCTTGCTCCCCTTGCTTCTCCATCTTTAACGCCACACTTCACCCTTGGGCTCGCTCTGTTTTTCTCCTTCCCCCCTTCCTCCCTCCACTTCTGGTTTCTGCCGCCTTTTTTCGCCTGCCCGAACCACCAGGGAGGAGCTGCAGCGGGCAGCGGACGGAGAAAAGGCGGAAGGAGCAGGTGGGGAGCAGAGAAGCGCAGGGGAACGGACAGCGGCGCAGGAGGATGGGGGGGAGCAGGGGGGCAAATACCGGTTGCAGCTGGGGCAGAGGGTGCAGCACTGCAGGCATGGTGAGGGGAGTGGGGGTGGGGAACGGGGAGGGGGAAAAGTGGAGGGGGGGGGAAGGGGAGGGGGAAAAAGGGGGGGGGAAACGGGTGGGGGGAAAGTTGGGGGGAGAAACGGTCAAGAACTGGTTGAAACTGGGGCAAAGGGCGCAGGCATGGCGCGAGGAGGAAGAAGGGGAGGAGGGAGGGGAGGAGGGAGGGAGGAGGGAGGGGAGGGGATGGGGGGAAGGATGGGGGGAAGGATGGGGGGAAGGATGGGGGGAAGGATGGGGATGCGGGGCATGGGCCTGAGCAGGAGGAGAGCAGGGGGTCATGGTGAGGCAGGGAAGCGGTGAGTTGAGCCGGGTGATTTTTTAGGCGCCTCAAGAAAAGCATGGTGGGTCAGGGAACATGGGAGCATGGAGAGCTGAGTTGGGTGCATGGTGGGTCAGCTGTGTGTGTGTGTGTGTGTGTGTGTGTGTGTGTGTGTGTGTGCGTGTGTGTGTGTGTGTGTGTGTGCTGAGAATTGCTTCTGACATTGGCCCTTCCCCTTGCCCCTCCCTCTTCTCCTGTTCCCTGCTGCACTCCTTACCGCCTATCACGGCGTCGTAGTGGGCATGGATCCGGTGTGTTGTGAGTCAGCTGATACTGGATTGGATGGAATGGAACTGTTCTTCCCCATTCCCCTCTTCCCATTGTACCCCTATACCCTGTACCCCTTACAGCATACCACCGTGTTATAGTGGGCATGGATCCCGTGTGTTGAGTGGCATCTGATTTTGGGTCTGTCGCTCCCCGTTTCCCCTTCCCCCTCCCCTCCCTCCCTCCTCCCTTACTTCCCCTGTACCCCTTACAGCATACCACGGTGTTATAGTGGGCATGGATCCGCTGTGTTGCGAATCAGCAGAATGGATGGCAGGTGCTGACGTGGCAGCCTTGTCAAGAGGGCCGTCTCAGCCGTTTTACCAGGTAGGTGTGATTGCATGGCAGTTCAGTTCAGATCGCTGGTTATCAGTTTACCTGTAGTCACGAATAAGGGTAATCTATTATCTATGCATGCAACCTTTCCATCACAAGTTTGCCCTACACTTAACCTTACCAGGCATGGAATTTTCCCCTTTTTGCTGCTTTCTCCCCTCCTAATGCACCAAGCAGGTGCTTTTGGATTCAACTGGAGGAGGTAGCTTCCCAGTCGCCTATGGTGAGTCACCCGCCTCTGAACCGCCATGAGCATGGTCAGGTAGTATTTTCTGTCACTAGCTGCCTGCTTGTACAGTCTCTTTTCTGTACGTGGCGTCGCTACTACTCCTCCCTCTTTCCTCCTCTCCTCCAACCGTTTCTTTCAACTTTTTGAGGCACCTCAAAAGCTCACCTTGTCCGCTTTTCCTTCTTTTTCATTTCTCCTCTTTTCTCCCTCTTTTCTTCCTTGCTGTTGTCTCCCCATACCTTGTCTCTTTCTTTCCCCCTCTCCCTCTCCCCTTTCCTCCTCTCACCCTTCCTTTCCAGTGGCCGAGGAGCTCCTAGCTCTTCCCCACGAGGCAACTACCGAACCTCTCCTGAACCAGTTCTCCCACCCATACCTCTACCTGCTCTTCCACGGCACGGATGCTCAAGGAAACTTCATTCCATGCCGCCAGCTCCGGGAAAAGTATGGCAAGTCTGGCGACCGGCTCGGGGACAGGCTCGGGGAAAGTTTTCAGGAACAAGTGCTGAACGGTGGTGCCACTTTGGGGCTGTCTTTTATTGAGGGTGATTTACCCGAGTGCGACGAGGAGGGAGGGTGAGGGAAGGCAATGCTTTGGGTTGGCCCATGTGCTCCAACGACCAGAAACGTCCGAAGGGGCGCGGGATTGCCAGCAACCAACGGCTGAGGGTTTGAGTCTCCTCAAAACTGGGTGGTGTGGTGTGTGAATACTAAGCCATGGCAACTACGGGCAACTACGGGCATGGGGCATGGAGGGTGGTGGAGCATGGGGGATGCGGCTATTTCTCTGTTGGAAGTGGGACGAGGCTACAGTACATGTGGCTGAAGGCAGAATAAAGCTGCTGGCATATGTCAGTGCGTGTTAATAGTACAGCAGCTGGTTTGGGGCCCATGCTGCTGGGCAGCAGCTCAAGTTCAGGTGTATTTTATCGCTCCTGCTTGCATACCTTTCACAGGTTTCCAGTTCGGAAGCCTTTGCGAAACAATATTTGCATACCGTTGCTACGCTCGACAGGCACGTAGGCCAGGTGGAAAGAGTCAGGGTCGAATCAAATTGTCATTTAGAGTGCATGCATCGTTCGGTCGGAGCGTAAAACAGAGAAACTGTACAAAGAAATGCATCAAGGATAGCGGAGAAAAACACTCGCCAAGGGAGTGAGATAAGGCCAGAGAGAAGGCATTGAGAAACAATCGCCCAAGCTCAGACAACTTGCACAGTTAGATTAAAAAATCACGCTGACCACCAAGGGTCGCTATGAGGATCCGCGGATCCCTTTCCCTGCTGAAACGCCGCAGCTCCTGAAAGTGAGGAGAATCCGAGGCGATCTTCGTTTTGCAACTCAAAAGAGCCTCGCCTTGAAGTCGTCTGGTTAGCGTTAGATACCACCTCCTGTCTCGGGCCTTCGCCTCGACTTCTGGAAGTTCCTGGAATCTGGTTAGCTTGAGACGTCGAGACGGTTCCAGGTGTGACGCCTGGAGTTGACTGGAAAGAGCCTGGTCTTTTGTTGTCCATGTGGACACACAGCATCATGACATCTTGAGTCTCAGCCATTGCTGACGAGATATTTCGGCGTCCCTGTTCACTCTGATAGGCGAAAGCAACGGATGTTAAGACCGCTTCATGCACGGAAGCAAGCTCACCCCTGACTTCGCAGGGATTATATACACACACGACGAAGGGCAGTAGCGGCAGGGTTTAATTCGAGAAGACGGGAAACCAATATACAATCTCAACTCCGGCCCGCTGGCGAGCAAGCATAGGAACAGCTGCAAGAACAAAGTAGTGTCCCAAGTCTAAGTTTAATCGCTCAAGAGCGGGAGAAAACTCTTGTCATCCACCCAAAGATTTCAAACAAGGCGAGTGAAGATCCTTGCAAAATATGGAGCTTGAACGACAATCTGTCACTAGGCTCCCCTGATAGTCTTGCCCGACTCCTCTCACTTCACTCTCTGTCTTCAGTCTTTGGAACAGACAAGCTCGGCGAACGGCTAGAAAATCTGCCATGGGTTAGGCGTGAGGATTTGAGAGGAGCTCGATTTCCTTCGCATGCTACTTAACCGTGATAGAAAGTCTAGGAACCGCTGTAGAACATAAATATACCTTACCTCATTGACGTGAGGTCGCCATCGTCGTGTGAGACGGTCTGACCGGGGACCATCGGGCTAATCAGCGACAAGCTCACTCAGGTTAGATCGCGTTCCTATGTTTGACCGACAGACGAAGTTTGCCCCGGAGTGTAGCTTTCACATGCAGTAAGCACAATTACCCGAATATGAACAGACTGGAGGACTGCTTTCCACAGATTAAAAAACATGACGGGATGGCGGTCTCGAACTTATCCTACAATACACCTGCACAATACACCTGCATTTGTGGAGAGTCCGGGAAAACTGGAACAGCGTCGGGTTCCGGTTGGACAATATCTGCACCTGTAAAATTACAAACACTCACGCTATATAGACCCAGAAAAGAAGGAAATCTGTACTCTTGGGCAATCTTCGTTTGTCAGTCAAACATAGGAATGCGGCCTCAGTCAAAATCTTGGAGGGAGAACACATGGCATGACGATCGCGATTGGGGGCTGGTTGGCACTGTCGGTTGCCTGTCGCAAAGCGTCGTCGGGCAGTGCGAAAGTTGCAGTTTCCCAAATTCTGATTGGATGGGTCTCGACTCTCCGGGATTGCGATTGCGGGCTGTTAGGGAAAGTGGAAGATGCCGCAAGGTGCTGGGGAGGCAGCTGATGGAACTCGGTGTCAGGATGCTCCGAACCTGCCATGTGGCTTGATCTTGAGATCCGGATGTCGCCGGCACGTCAGAAAGTGCGGAGGAATGCAGACACACTGATGAGACATGCTTCGTCATGCAGTACGTTTTCCACGGGAATCTGATGTGTAAATCCCTAAATCCCGTGAGTGGTCCACAGCAGGTACAGCACAAACCATCCAAGAGCGAGACGCGAGATAAACAGGTTGAGGGCGTGTCCCTACGCGATTCAATGTCAGCCCACATCGTATCATTCTGTTTTTTGCCTGCCATTTGTGCCCCTATATATATTTTTGACACGAACTAGCGTGACATTGTGTCGCGTAGGGACAAGCCCTGATATGCTGGGAACACCAACGAGGCACCTTATGCTTCAGCACTAACTGTTGACAAGCAAGAATAGGTTTATATTCCATTCAACCTACATCCTACATGAGACTATTGCTTTTATACGAAACTACCTCTCGACAAAATACACTGCTCGCCACACAAAGTTCGAAGGAAGGTATTGCTGCTAACGAGGTCACAGTGTTGACAAATTTCCTGAATACTGCAGTAGACTCTAAGCACCATAGGCCAGAATAAGGTGGGTATTTCGCCCTGTTATGCGAGCCCGCCTATGATCTCCTTGGTGTCTTATGACTGTCCTGTCTTGAGCCGCGTGCTTCGCAGCCATCATGTTCTCATCCACATCGCGGCTCGCCACGTCAGCAGGAGCGAGTTCATCGTCAGCATGCGCCGTACTCCCGGATCCGCGTCATCATAACCATCATCATCATCATCCGCCAGGTGCTGCTGATGCTGCTTGGTTCGACGATCCGCACGATTCTAAACCAGCCTTAGAAGAAGCAAATCCAGCCGTTGGTGATCCCCGCAATGGGAAGCAGCAGCGACAACAGCGACAAAAGCAGCAGCAGCAGCATCCAAGTGAATGCTCATGCAGTCCACTTATTTCAGAAAATGAGCAAACGAAAAATGGGAACGAACAACCGAAATGGCGACCAGGATCATCTATCGCGAGCGGCTCGGGAGCTTTTTCAGGTAATGGTGAACTGGAACGGCCAAGCCAATCAGGAAAGAGTTTGGAAGTCCGGATGGCCGATCAGGTGACTCAAAGTCAGGAGATTCGTAACCAATCAGAGGAGGGTTACCCTCTTTCCGGCATGAGCTTTCTGGATCTTCCACAGCCGTTGATCCTGGAGGCGCTCCGGCATCTGGACGTCCACGATCTCGCGTCGCTGTCGTGCTGCTGCCGCCTGCTGCACCAGCTGGCGGGAGAATCGTGCGGTTGGATGCGGTTCTACTGCGAGCGATGGGCGCCGCCGCCCGTGATTGGCGTAGGAGGTGCGAAGGAGGACGGAGGGAGAGAGGGAGGAGCAAGGCGAGAGGGTAGAGGGGCTGCTGGAAGGAAAATGGGAGCAGGAGGCAGAGGAGGAGGGGGAGGAGGAGGGGGAGGAGGAGGAGGGGGAGGAGGAGAGGGAGGAGGAGGAGGGGGATTGAGGAGCCGAAGCGAGACAAGGCAGTTGGGGCCCAGAGAAGAAGAGGTTAGCAGTCACGGCCCAGCATCAGAAACATGTCTGGTGCCACGCCGTGCCGACGGTGGTGCAGGTGGTGGTAGTGGTGGTGGTGGCAGTATCGTTGGCACTAGCGGTGGCGGTAGCGACGGTGGTGCAGGTGGTGGCGAGCCATGGCTGCTACGTAGTGGGGTGAACTGGAGGCAGATGTACCTGCAGCGGCAGAGGCGGTCAATGGCGTACCTGGGAAGGTTCCAGAGCGACTTCCTCTCGGGTCACACTGCAGGGGTGCGTGCTGCTAGGCTGCTCATACGACCACCCTTCCGCTTCTCCCCCTCACAAACCTCCCCCGCACACCCGTCCCCCTCACACTCCTCACACTCCTACCCTCGTTCTCTGCTTGAGTCGCCTCTTAATCGTCCCCTCTCTCTCGCTATAACTGCCGGATATGATTCGACCATTCGAATCTGGTCGTTGGACGATTGGTGCAGCAGCGGTTACCACTCCAGCAGCACTACTGCTCACCCCTCTTTCAGTAACGGTTACAACTACAGTAGCTGTTACAATCCCAGCAGCAGCCACAGTTACACCAGCAGTTACAGTTACAGCAGCGGTATCCCCATTGCCACGTCGCCGCCACTTGGCGAAACGCTACGGGCCGTGGCAGCTGGCCTGGACTTCCTGGCAGTGGGCAGCACAGACGCAGTGATCCGCGTGTGGCGGGCGGCGAGAGATTGTCCGTATCTGTTTGACGTGTCAGGCATGTGGAGCCACACGCAGGCAGCTAAGATCCTTGCAGCTCAGCTTGCCGAGTCGGTGAAAAATGGCCCGCCAGATTCAAAAGAAGCGGATACTCCTCCTCCCCACCCTCCTCCTCCTGTTGCTGCTGCTGCTCCGTCTCACCCGCCCTCCGTTCCCATCCTGCTGCACGGTCACATGGGCCCTGTTTCCTGTCTAGCTCTAGAAGGGGGATACCAGACTCCAGGTCCTAGCAGGGATCGTCTCTTCTCCTCCTCTTCCCCATTCTCATCCTCCTCTGGCAATTCTTCTTCCATGCCCATGTCATCCCGTCGCCTCCTCTTTTCCGGGTCTTGGGATTCTACTATCCGATGCTGGGACCTCTCTTCTTCCCTCTCCTCCTCCTCTTCCTCCTCCTCCTCTCCCTTCCCAACTATCTCCTCCTTCCACCATGCCGACTGGGTCTACTCCCTCCAGCCCCGCTTCTCCCCCTCGCTCGCCTCCCCTCCCCGCCTTTTCTCCACTGCTGGTGCTGACGTGTACTGCTGGGACGTGGAGACCGGAGCGCTTCTGAAGCGCCACGTGGCAGCGCATGAGGGGAAGGCGCTTGCTGTCCATGCGAGTCTGTGCGGCCGGTTTGTCTTTTCTGGAGGGGAGGATGGGGTGGTGAGGATGTTCGATGAGAGGGTAGGAGGAGGAAGAGGGAGAGGAGCAGGGAGAGGAGGAATCTCAGGAGGGGGAAAGGGAGGAGTTAGAGGAGGAGGAGGGGAGGGAGGAAGAGGAGGGGAGGGAGGTGTGTGGGAAGCAGTGGCAGAGTGGCATGCACACAGCAGCGCTGTAAATGCTCTATCCTTTGAAGACCCCTGGCTTGTTTCCGCTTCTAGTGATGGCTCATGTGCGCTTATGGACATTAGAGCTGCTGCTGCATTAGCAGGTCGTTGTAGAGGCGGCGGGTGGGCTTATAAGGGGAATATGCTGAGAGGAGAGAAGAGGAGAGGAGAGAAGGGGGGCGCTGGGGTTGGAGGGGGGACGCGATGGATGGGAGGAGGTGGAGGGATGGGAAATAGTAAGTGGGGGTCGGCATGGGCTGTTGGTGCAAACGGGGAGATAGGCGAAATTGTAGAAGGCTCCATTGCTAGGAGATTGGGGGGCCTGAAAGGAGCGGCCTTGTGTGTGGATATAGGGGATGAAAGGGTGGTGTGTGGTGGTGCCGATGCGGATGTTCGGGTGTGGGATTTTCGGCATGCGTTGGTGGAAGTGGGGGATGGTGCAGAGAGGAAGGGGAGGGGGAGGAGGAAGGGGAAGGGGAAGGGAAAGGAAGAGAAGGATGGGTGGGAGAGGTCATGATGATTGGGATTTATAGTAATAGAAGTCATGGAATGTAGAAAATGAAGCATTGTAGGATGAGTTGCCTTCTCTTTTTAGGTTGGAGTGTTGGTATAAATCTTAAATATAGCTGTAGGAGAAACACTGCAAATAATCTTATCAAAACTTTTGCCTTCCTGGGATCAGCGCACATGAAAAGCTCCCAGGATCACGGAGCAGGTTTGACAGCGATTGGTCCTGCGGTGCTCTAACGGCTGCCACAGACAGCAACCAATTTCAGCGGAGCAGTGTTCGGACGGAAACGCACCGTGGTGATTTTGAAGCCGAAGTACCGCACAGAACCGTAGATAAACAAGTGAAGCTGAGACAATTCGAGGTCAGTAGAATCCCAAGAGGAGCCGCAAGAGACGGGTACAATAGTAGAGCAGTCGAGAAGGTCACGAGTACGTATTGGACATTCGACGCTAGTTACAGAAGTAGGGCGAGCAACGTACCAACCCTTAGGCTAGCAGCGTGAAGCGTCGAAACCGGCTCAATGAGCTAAATGAGACGAAATGTTTGGTTGTGGAGGCCTGCTTCTGCTACTATCACTGTGAGCCGGTGATGCTAGGAACCGTTGAGCAAGGAGGGTTTTGAGTCGTTGATCCCAGGATCTGATGGAGAAACTTTCAGAATGGAGGAGAACGGCTTCCGGATCTAGAGGCCCGAGATTCCGCGAACCACGCTAAGAATGAGTGACCTACAACCGCCCTGAGTGGGCTTATTATCGTCGACTTCCGGTCGTCTGGAAACATGGATGGATCAAGAAGTTTCCCGAATCAATCTGGACCGTTCGATAGTTCAGATTTGCACTTTCCGCGATGCCGTCCCTACACTGAGTCCTCGCAGGTCAACGGCGAGGATAAGCTCTTACCAATCAACGGCCACGATCGCTGCAGGTATTCCGCGCAAGTGGATCTCCGTTTCCTGCGACGCTTGTTGGCCCTGTTGCGACTCGCTGGTGCGAAATATGCTGTGTTACTGTTACTCCTCGCTCTCACGAACATCCCCATCGTCGCGAAAATGGGTACTGTTACAGGAACGTTCTATTTCGCCCTCGTCAATGCAAACCCCGATGCTTTCCTCAAGACCCTCGGGAATTCCGCGATCTGGCTGATCCTGGCCGCTGTTTCCACGGCGCTAACTGATTGGTCCGCGCAGTTTCTTTGCCTGAAATGGCGGAAGACTCTGACGTCAGCGTGCCACGTGGCGTACAGGAGGAGCAGTTGGCTGTATTTCGCGTCTCTCGATAAATGCGGCATCCCCGCGGTTGCAGTCGGTAAACCCGTTACTGACGCGAATGACCCCTCTGTACCCGTTATAGACAACCCTGATCAGCGGATAACGGAGGACATTCACCGCTTTGCGGAGCAGGTTTCGCTGCTGCTAAGCAGAACAGTAACCGCGCCGCTTACCGTGCTCTACTACAGCTGCTGGGTCATGTCTTTAATCGGTCCCATGGGCCTCCTAATCATCCTCCTGTTCTTCACGGTCGGAGCAGTCATAACGCGCCACGTCATGGCTCCAGTGGCAGCCTTAGTTGCCGAGCAGGAAAGGCGGGAAGCGGAGTTTCGTATGGCGCATGTCAGAGTTAAGGAGCGGTCCGAGGACATCCTTTTCTCGCGCGGGGAGGACGCCGAGGCGCGCCAGCTCGGCGCTGAGCTGGCAGCCGTCCTGGCCAATCAAGAGAAGCTGGTCTGGCGGTACTTAAAGCTCGGAATCACCACTAAGTTGTTCGACTATGCTGGCGTGGCCGTTAATTACCTAGCACTAGCAGCACCCATATTCGGGATAGTAGGAGCAGGTATAGCCGGGGGAGGTGTTATTCCAGGAGGCGGGGGAGATAGTAAGGATAAGGGGGCTGTAGCACAGTGGATTAGTAACGCATCGTTCGCAATATTGCAACTGATATTTGGGGGGTCTCAGATTATTGATGCTGCAAGGATTATATCGGATTCTGCTGGGTACACTGCACGAGTTGGCGAGCTGTTCGAGGGCTTGCAACTGCTGCCTTCCCCTCGGTTAGAGTCACATCGGGTACAGACACATGGAAGGGATGTGCCGTTTCCTCCATCACCGCCATCAGCAGCAGCAGCATCAGCGTCAGCATTAGCATCGCCACCATCGAAAAGTCGAGCTATATGGGAGAGATTGAGCTGGAAAAAGGGAGCTGGTTACTCAAGGAAATGTGGCAACGCCGGCGTGAGTGAAATAACAGGGCTGCTGGATGTGAGAGTGGAGAGGGGGGAGGGAGGAAGCAGAACCAGCCCCGATACGAACGAGCAGAATGTGCAGACAGATAAGGAGGTGACTGGTTACGGGACCTGGAAAGGAGGAGACGCAGGAGGAGCGGGTGTTAGCACGTGGACAGGTGTGGGGGAGTGGATGCGTCAGGGATATGATGCGCAAATCGCCGGAGGAGAACAGGAGAAGAACACCGGATGTTCTCAAATCACGCCGAGTGTGAGGGAGTTCATGCTCCAGGGACCAACCTGGCTGATGGTGCCGCGGCCACAAGGCACTGATGGGAGGGCAGCAGAAAGGGAGATTGGGTGGTCGTGCTGCCACGTGTCTGCTCCTGCATCTGTGGAAAGCGCTCGTACAGGGGAAGAGGCAGGGGAACGGCAGCAAGGCATGCATCCCCTGCTGCAGTACTCCATTCACTCCGTTCCTCCGGAGCTTCGCTCCCTTGTGGCCGCCCTGGTGCCGCAGCACAGGGGCAGAGGGGAGAAGGGAGGGCGGATAGGAGGAGTGGGAAATGTTAGCAGTGGATTGGGGGAGGGGCAGAAGAGCAAGGGAGGGAAGAGTGGGGGGGAGGCACTGTGCGTGAGGTTAGAGGAAGTGAGGCTGGAGGAGGTGAGGGTGGAGGATGTAAAGGATGTGAAGATCGTGGTGACGTTTCAGTGCAGCGACGTGCCTCTCTGGCCCATTCACAGCGACTCCTCTGCTGCTGCTCCTGCTTCTTCTCTTTCTGCCGCTGCTGCTGCCTCTGCTCCTTCTCCTGCTGCTTCTGCCGGTGCTACTCCTCCTGCAGCTCCTACAGCAGCGCCCGTAAGTTCAGCACGCGCGGACGCGAGTCCACCAGCAACAAACGCAGCACAGGCAGACGTGAGCAGGGCGATGAATCGCCTGCTCTTCAACTTCCGGCTCTTCCAGCAGCAGCTGTGCGAGCAGCTCTGGGCCGCTGGCCACTGGGCGGACGCTGTTGACCCCCTCACAGGTTACCTCATGCACGCTGCTGCTGCTGACAGCACTGCTGCGTATGGTAATGACAGTGTTGGCAGCGGTGGTGCCAGAAATGGTGGTGCTACCAGCGGTGGTGCTACCAGCGGTGGTGCTACCAGCGGTGGTGCTACCAGCGGTGGTGCTACCAGCGGTGGTGCTACCAGTGGTGGTGCTACCAGTGGTGGTGCTACCAGTGGTGGTGCTGGCAGCAGGTGGCCGTTCCCCACCCCAGTGAAGTACAACGAGGTTGACATCGCACAGATTCTCCTGGGCTACCCTGTTGCTCCCACTGCCACAACGGATTGGACAGCAACTTCAACCAATGAAACTGCAACATCATCAGCAGCGGTGTCAGGATCAGCATCAGGAGGAGCAGTAGCACTGGTAGCAGCACTACCACCACCACCACCACCACCGTTGTTGCCCTCGTGCCCGCTGGTCCTCCACCCAACCTTCGGCACCCACACCTACCCAGCCTCGCTCCTCACCACCGCCCCTCTCCCTCTCCTGCAATCCGCCATCTGCCACGTGGCAGGCACTGGTTGGCGCCTGCCAGGCTGGCAGGAGGAGCCGGGGGTGCTGGTGGTAGGGCAGGGGATGGGAGATGGAGGGAGCTTTGACTCTGCTCCTCTACCAGCGAAGGGAGCAGAAGGAGAAAACAGGGGGGAAGAGAGAGATCTAGAGGGATTTGATTCCGTCCTGCAACCACCGTGCCACACCTGCTCCCCCTCCTCCTTCCCTCCTGCACTCTCTCTCTCCCGTCTCACCCTCACCCTCCCCCACACCAACCATCTCCTCGTCTCCAACCTCTCCCTCCACCTGCCACGTGGCAAGGCCCTGTTGGTCACCGGGCCTAGCGGGTGCGGCAAGACCAGCCTCCTGCGAGCCATTGCCGGACTCTGGCCAACCAGCAGCCGTCACGTCAGCAGCAGCAGCAGCAGCAGCAGCAGCATCCCATCTGTTGCTGCAGTCCCCCCTTCCCCTGTGAGCCTATTCCCCCCTTCCGCCTTCCCCCATGTCATGTTCCTTTCGCAGAAGCCCCTCCTTGCGCCTTCCCCCTGCCTGGCCGCCCAAGTCATGTACCCCATGCACCCTGGGAATTGCAGGGGTAGAGAGTGTGATGACGCCTGCTGTGTGCACCCGGGGAAGTGTGGGGAGAGGTGTGCGCATGATGAGATGATTCTGTGTAGAGTGGAGGCTGCTCTTGCTGTGGTGGGCTTGGCACATCTGTTACCACGTCTCCTCTCGGCCGTGTCCGGTGGTGGAGGGGTGGAGTCTGGGGAGAAACATGTTGAGAACCGTGTGGTTTTGCAGGAACATCACATGCGGCAGCAGCAGCAGCAGCAGCATTCGGGTTGTCGTGATTGTCCAGGCTCTGGGACAGCTCTAGAGCAGTTGGGCAACAGTCAGAGTTGGATGGCGGGGCTTTCTCCTGGGGAGCAACAGCGGCTTCAGTTTGCAAGAGTGGTGTTCCATCGGCCAAGGCTGGTGTTCCTTGACGAGGCTACCAGTGCCGTAGATGCAGAGATGGAAGCACGGATGTATGCCTGGCTTGCCAGGTTTGGGACCGCATTCGTTAGTGTTAGCCATAGGAAGGAGTCTCTGCGGAGATGGCACCATGCAGAGCTCGTACTATTAGGAAATGGCTTAGGGAGGTGGAGAATAGTGCAATGAGTTTGCGAAGATCATTCATAGTATTCCTGTTTGTGCCGAAGGTGTATAAGCAGCTCAACAACACCATTGCCAAAACTTCAACGTATCACTTGTTGTGGTAACTGACTGTTTAGAGTTCGTCAGACATCGCTGATTGGTCAACGACACCGACACATCGGGTGGAGCCATAAGCACTTTTCGTCCACACGCAGCTTGCCACGCTGGCTCCACAGGCTCCAGCGCGCTTTGCGAAATCCGCCCCGATTCCCTTCGATTCCCTCCCTTCTCTTCGGGCATCTCGATCGAGATGCCATTCTCCACCACACGATCAACGTGGTGCCCAATCGGAGCGTGGATGACAGCTTCTTGGGCTACGATTGAGCATGTCCTGGAGAAGTGACGTGGCACTGCGCGTCTCTCGAGATCTGTTTTCCGCCAGATGTTTTTCCAGGCCACAACAGAAATATGGTTGTGAAGATTCTGGCTTCGGATAGGTCAGTAGAACTAAGGACTAGGAAGTAGGAAGCTGTACGTAGCAGAGACCGACCATAGAATTCGGCGTCTTTCATCCATTCGAGTCGCGTGCTCGTACAGTATTCCGTAAACCGCGTCCAAGCAGCTCTGCCGAACTGTCGTACTGTACGAAAATAGGACGTCGAATTCGTAGTCGTACCGCATTCTAAAACGTAGTTTTCATCCACTTCCAAATTCCGATCTCCTCCATGCTTCGCTATTCGGTCCTAAGCTGCTTCGTTGTATTCTAGAGTGTGTTTGACGTCCTCTTGTCCCACAGCCCGGAACATTCAGAGACCCTGCTTTTGTTCGCTTCGTTCGCTTTCGTTCATCAGCCATGGCGGCGGTTCGCTCGCTCATCTCCTCCCTCAGACTCACCCCAGCTGAAGCAGTACCGCTGAAATCCTCGGCCTCCTCACTCATCCGCGATTCAAAAAGTGTTAGCTTGAACCAAAGGCCCACTAAGCTGTCCATATCCTGCTCTTCAAGTAAAGACTCTCGCCGTCGGCTTGTTTCAGCAGCAGCTCCTCCCACAGCTGCTGCCGCAGCACCCACCGCGGAGGACGCGCCGTCAGTCCCGGCGTCAGACGCGGAACCCGCGGAGCCGCCGCGGCGCCGCCTGAAGGTGGGGTGCCACGCGGCGCAGGGGCGGCGCGACGAGATGGAGGACCACGTGGTGGTCTTAGAGGACATCGGCGCGGGGTTCCTCTACGCCGGCGTGTTCGACGGCCACGCCGGCGCGTCGTCCGCGAAGTTTCTGAGCGACGAGCTGCATGACGACTGCATGGAGGCTCTGGAGGGCGGCGCGGTGCTGGAAGATGAAGATCTGACGGCTGCGGAGGACGCTCTGGAAGATGCGTTCTTGCAGGCCGATCAGAGGCTGCTGCAGTGGTGAGTGTGACTAAAACGGTGGTGAGGGCCCCTCTTCTCCCCCTTCCCCCCCTTCCCCCCCTTCCCCCCCTCCCGCCACCCTCCAGAGGCTAGAGGAGCACAGCGCGGAGCCCGAGTCGGGGTCTACTGGCAGGCAACATGCAACCTCCTCCCCCCCCCCCTCCCCCCCTCCTCCCACCCCCGCCTCCCGCCTCCCGCCTCCCCCCCTCTCCCCCCTCTCTCCTCCATGCCACAGGCTAGAGGAGCGCAGCGCGGAGCCGGAGTCGGGGTCAACAGGCACTGTGGCGTTCGTGCGGCACGACCGTCTGTTCGAGCTGACTTCTGAGTCGACTCAAAGGAATGCTCGCCACTACCGTTTGTTCGTGGCGCACTAAGGCAACTCGCGCGCCGTGATGGCCGTTGCGGGCGACGCAGCACTTATCCCCCTCCTCCCCCCAAAATCCCCCCCCACCCATTCCCCATCCTATTTACAGGTTAGAGGAGCACAGCGCGCAGCCCGAGTCCGGATCCACTGGTACTGTGGCGTTTGTGCGCCACGACCGTCTGTTCGTGGCGCACTTAGGCGACTCGCGCGCCGTGATGGCCGTTGGGGGCGACGCGGAGCCGATCTCGGAGGACCACAAACCCAGCGGCGAGTCGGCAAAGGCGAAGGAGGAGATAAAGAGAATCAACAAGGCGGGCGGATGGGTGAGTGAGTGGGAGGGGAGGGGAGGGGAGGGGAGGGGAGGGGGTAGGGCGGGTGAGCGGGTTAGGTGGGAGAGGGAGGACGAGGGGAACGTTGGGGGTGGGGGGGAGGGGAGGGGAGTTGAGAAGACCACAGGCCCGAGTGGCGAGTCGTAGAAGGAGAGGCGGGTGGATGGGTGAGCGGGGAGGAGGATGGTTGAGCGGGGAAGGGGATGGTTGAGCGGGGATGGGGGTGGTTGAGCGGGGAGGGGGATGGTTGAGCGGGGATGGTGACAGAGAAGGGGGGGGAAACTAAGGGGGTGAACTAGGTGGGTGGATGGATGGTGTGGAGGGGGGGGATGGAAGGTGTGGGAGGTACAAGTGGGGTTGTGTAGAGGCGTAGGAGGATGGGTGAGTGGGGAGGCGGAACCGGTGGAATTGAAAAGGATGGCTTGATAAGAACCATTTCTCCTTCCCCTTCCCCTTTCTCCTTCCCCTTCCCCTTCCCCTTCCACTTCCCCCACCCGTTTTACAAATTTCTCCGCTTTCCCCTTCTCTCTTCTCCCGCTCTCCCTTTGTTCCTAATCGACTTCCTTCCCCTTTCTCCCTCTCCCCGCGACATCCACAGGTTAGCCAGGACAGGATGTGTGGAGTGGTGGCGGTGTTTGAGATCTTTTATAAGCATTCCCTCCCCTCCCATTGTTTGAAGGGTTTCTTTTATAATTCTAAAAAATACCCCGCTTCCCATCCACCTCCTGTTTGATTCCGCTCTCATCCTACCCACCTCCCTCCTTGTTGATTTTTTAGCCGACTAAAAAATCACCTTTTTTTAGTCGACTCAAAAATCACCTATCCACCTCCCTCCTTGTTGCAACACGCAGGTGAGCCAAGGGCGGGTGTGTGGAGTGGTGGCGGTATCTCGAGCTTTTGGGAACATTGCTTTCAAGACCAGAAAAGAGGAGTGAGTCTCTCCGAGTGGCACCTTTTTATTGCCGGACACAAAATCAGTGGGGGAGACTTTGCATTGGCTCCTCAGATTTTGGAAGCATTGCTTTCAAGAATCAAGACCAGAAAGGAAAGGAGGAGTGAGTCTTGGAGGGACACCTTCCTATTGCCAGAGACAAAACCAGTCACTGTTTGCGTTGGTTCCACACCTTATGGAAACACCGCTTTAAGACAAGAAAGAGGAGTGAGTATGTTCCTTCTTCACTTGCTCCTTGGTGTTTTTAATATCCTCTTGCAGCAATGCACACACCCCTACGAAGCAACACAGAACATTTAACTACTGTTACCATTACTAGTAAGAATTTGTCTCTCAGCAGTTCTCTCTTTCTCACTTGGAGTCGGCGAATCAGCGATGATATTTGAGAATTCTCAGAATTACCTACATCGTAATCAAGTGCAAGCAACTGGTGTTCCACTGGGGAGCACTTCATAATTGCTGGAAAGAGAAGGACTTGATATAAAACTGATAATGAGGTGCAACTGTTGAGGCGCCTAAAAAATGCTGGAAGGAGAAGGACTTGATAGAAAAACTGATTATGAGGTGCACCTGGTATCCCACTGGGGAGCACTTCATAATTGACAAGCCATACCAATCCGTGGCGCGCGTTGCGAATTTGCATTGAACTGCTATTACACTACGTTGAATTGCACTGTAATGCTTTCCATTACACTTCACTGCACTGTGGTGTATGGTGTACAGGATGATGCAGCAAGGGGTGAAGAAGGGCCGGTGGACAACCAGATGGGTCTCCAAGTAAGCCGCCTTCCCGTTTATTGCGTCTCATCCCGTTAAGCTGTACCTCGCCGTTTCTCACCAAACGTCATAGAATGGGCAATTGAGCTCGGGCATTCATTCTTCATCCCTTCAAATTCGTCCCGTCTTTGTCACTCCGAAAGTGTAGCCTCCCTCCTGTCTGAACCCTTTCTTGCCTCGTCCCTTGAGTCCTCTTTTATGAATTTCTGCCCCCTCTCCTCCTGTTCTGCCCACGCTTCAAACTATTTTTGAGGCGCCTCAAAAATCGTTTCAAACCATGCTCGTTCCCAACTCGTCCTGGTTTTCAGGAGGAAGTTCGACTCTGATTGGATATCTGCCCTCCCTGATGTGTATGCCACTGAGCTCACAGAAGATGCTGAATTCGTCATCATTGCGTCAGACGGGCTCTGGGACGCATTCTCAAGGTATGTAAACAACAGCCTCCCCGCACCTCACTCTCTCTTCTCCTACCCTTCATCTCACTCTCTCTTCTCCTACCCTTCATCTCACTCTCTCTTCTCCTACCCTTCATCTCACTCTCCCTTACTCACAAGTCACCATTGTCATCATTGCATCAGACGGGCTCTTGGACGCATTCTCTCAAGGTACGTAAACACACCTCTCCCCTCACTCCCCTAATCCCTCGGTCCCCTCGTCCCCTGCTCCCCTCACTCCCCTTATTCACAAGCCACCTTCGTCAAAATCGCATCCGATGGTGTATGGGATGCCTAACTCACTCCCCCCACTCTCCTCTTTCAAGGTCGAAGCCTCCCTTCCTCTCTGCACGCCCTTACCATTCCCTCCACCACACTCTCCTCCCTCTCCTCCCCTCACTCCCCTCCCTTCCTCCCCGCACCTGCCTTTCTCTCCGTTGCTTCCCGATCAGTTCCGAGGCAGGGGTGTTTGTGCGTCGCGAGATGGAGAGGCATTTAGAGATGGAGAGGCATTTAGAGATGCAGAGGCATTTAGAGATGGAGAGGCATTTAGAGATGCAGAGGCATTTAGAGATGCAGAGGCATTTAGAGATGGAGAGGCATTTAGAGATGCAGAGGCATTTAGAGATGCAGAGGCATGGGGACGTGTCCCTCGTATTATGTGTGACAAAAATTGTGTGCGTCTCTTCCATCTCCCTCTGGCTCCTTCCCCATACCCTCCCCATACCCTCCCCACACCCTCGTTTCCTCCTTGCCCTGTCCCTCCTTCCCCTCATTGCAGCTCCGAAGCAGTGGCGTTTGTGCGTGGCGAGATGGAGAAGCATGGGGATGTGCAGCAGGCATGCGAAGCCTTGGTGCACACTGCGCTGCATGTGAGTGACATTCATGCATCCAAGCATATAGCAGTAGAAAGGGTTGTGCATGCACGAACAATCAGTATGTGCAGCAGGCATGCGAAGCCTTGGTGCACACTGCGCTGCATGTGAGTGACACTCTTTACAGTGCAAGTAGAATGTGTACAGTGTACGAGCCATCCGTGCATGGGGATGCGGGGAATCGAGGACAACAACCACGTGATCGTCGTCTCCGTGTGCGGCTAGAGAGTAGACGTGCACCCTGTGCTCCTTTGTGTCATATTGCTCCCTGCTGCTACAACTAGAGAAGAAACACCAGCGTGATCGTCATCTTGTTGCGTGACTAGAGAGGGACTTCATCGTGTGTCATGCCCCCCCCCCCCTGCTGCTTCTCTTGACTCTCTCCCTCCCTCCCAGGATCGGGAAACGGAGGACAACACCAGCGTGATCGTCATCTCCTTGCGTGACTAGAGAGGGACCCTGCTGCCTCTGCTCCGCTCCTTCGTGTCATATACCCCTGCTGCTGGAACTAGGGTCTGAGACTTGCGCCTTTGCTCCTGTCATTTCATTACCCTTGCTCCTATTGTGCCTCTGGACCTTAGGACTGGGAAACAGATGGCTGTGTGTGTGTGGCTATGCAATCTGATCTGATGGTTATGTACGGTATGGAAACCAGTGCCATGCCATGCCGTATTTGTTTGGCTGGCCTCAGCCGTGCAAGCCTCGGCTCCCTCATAGCTCGTTATCGACCATGCTAGTCTGAACGAACGTGTATTGTACTGCCATGGCTTTTCTGCATTCTGGAAAAAAGCCCTGCCTGCCGATATACACTTCCTTCTTGGCTGCTAGGCCTGACGAATACTCTTCCTAGTGATTTTCTTCCTGCTAAGCTGCAGTTGGGAACAGTGTGGCTCCCAAGGACCAGAGCAAGGAGGCCCTTATTTGGCAATGGTGGACCTCGGTGGAACTGCTACCACTGCTATGCGAGGCCACGACATGCCACTGCTGCAGCGGACCAAGGGGAACGAAATATGTCAGGTCAGAGCGTTCCACGTTCCAACAACCCAAAGAATCATCCACTCCACACACGTACCAACCAACCAACCATGCCGTGACTTGAAGCCACACCATGACATGACACCCCATCCCACACTAGAAACCTCTATTTAATTCCCACCAAGGCTGGACGCCAGCTTCGGCCGGGCGTTCTTCTTCCCTGGGATCTTCGTCTGCTCCTTCTTCAACTTCTCCTCGCTCTCCCTCCACTTGGCGTCATCCCTCTGCCGCTGCCTCTACCGCTCCTCCAATTCCTGACACCTTCTCTCCTGCTCCCTCACCCGCCCCTCACGCTGCTGCCCCTCTCACTCTGCCCCTCCTCTGCCTCCTCTGGACGCCCCTCTCCCTCCTCTGCCTCTGCGGCAGTAGAAAGAAACTCACCACTGATCACTTTCCTCCCAAGCTGGACGCCAGCTTCGGCTCGTGCCTTCTCCTCCTCTCCTGCTCCCTCGTCCGCTCCTCAAGCTGCTGCCTCTCGCACTCTGCTTCCTCTGCCTCCTCTGCATGCCTCTCTCCCTCTGCTGCCTCCGTGGCAGTAGAAAGAAACTCATCGCTAGAATTCATCTCATATCTAATCACTTCCCTCCCAAGCTGAACGCCAGCTTCGGCCGAGCGTTCTTCTTCCCTAAGATCTTCATCTGCTCCTTCTTTGTCTTCTCCTCCTCCTCTTTCTTCTTCCTCTTTGCCTCATCTCTCAGCCGCTGCCGCTCCTCCAGCTCCCGATACCTCCTCTCCTGCTCCCTCGCCTGCTCCTCTAACCTCTCCCTCTCTGCTTCTTCCGCTTCTCTTTGCTTCTGCTGCAGCACCTGCAGCTGCTGCTCTGCTTCCTTCTGCTTCTCCTCCTGGACGGGGTAAGGGGCATGGGGCAAGGATAAAAGATGAGGAAAAAAAGGGGAGTATTTGAGTGAAATCTTTCCTTTTCCGCTTGGCCGCATCTCTCTGCCAGTGCCTCTCCTCCAGCTCCCGGTACCTCCTCTCAAGTCCCTCGCCTGCTCCTCTAACCTCGTGACTTTTGAGTTGACTCAAAAGTCACCTCAAAAGTCTCCTCTCCTGCTCCCTCGCCTGCTCCTCTAACCTCGCCCTTTCTGCCTCCTTGCTTCTGCTGCAGCAGCTGCAGCTGCAGCTGCTGCTCTGCTTCCCTCTGCTTTTCCTCCTGCAAGGCGGTAGGGGCAACGGGGTTAGGATATTACGGTGGGGATACACGGAGAAGCAAGAAGGAGAGAAGCTTTGAGGCATTTGAAGCAGGTCCTTCTTCCTCCTCTTGGCCTCATCCCCCTGCCCCTGCCAATCCTCCAGCTCCTGATTCCTCCTTCCTCATCCTTGACTCAGCCTCCTCACTCCCCCTCCCCCCTCTCCCCCCACTCTTCACTCACCTCTGTCCTCCTCTTCGCCTCTTCCACTGCCTCCTTTTCCTCCTCTATAACCCTCGCCAGCCCCCTCCCCCCCCCCCCCCCCTTCTCAGCCACCCTCTCACTAACCAATTTCCTTCTTCCCCTCTCCCCTCCCCCCTCTCCCCCCCACTCACCTCTTGCCTCCTCTTCTCCTCTTCAACTGCCTCCTTTTCCTCCTCTAACACTCTCGCCACCTCCCCCGGAAGTTTCCGCCGGCCTTCCTCAATCAGAGCCGCCATTTCCTTCTTAATCTCCTCTGAGGTAAGTTCTTGCTCCACTCGCTCCCGAATCGCCTCTTCCAGCCTCCTGGTTGTCTCCTCCGTTATAAGCTTCTCCATTGCTTCCTCCCGTAACCTGTATCAGTGCACAGAGGGGTGCAACAACCGTTCTTTAGCGGCGCCTAATAAACCCCTCTTGAATCCCCTCTTCCAGCCTCCTGGTCGTCTCCTCCGTTATAAGCTTCTCCATTACATCCTCTCGTAGCATGCAGACTTACGTCTGTTGAGAAATAGGGGGAGCAATAGGGAGAGAGGGGAGGCGGAGGGAGGTTGATTGAAGGGGGGACCGTGGGGTTGGTGGGTGGGAAGGGAGGCCCGGGGTGGGGTGTGGCCCGGGGGGGGGGGGGGGGGGGGGGTGCGCGGAAGTGTATGAGGCGCCTTAACGGTCTCTCCCAAATGGCATCCCCAACCCAGCCATGTGACGCCTCGCAACAACCCGACCCATTGCAAAAGTTTTTTAGAATTCTAAAAAACACCTTGCAAAAGCAAAGCACCAGCCACGGCATTGGCTCACCTCTCTCGGCTTCCTCCTATGCTCTCCGCGCCTCCATCTCAGTCCCCTTAACTCTCTCCTACTCCTCCGCACCCCCCCACCCGTGTGACGCCTCACAACCCGACTCATAGCAAAAGCAACGCACCAGCCATGTCATTAGCTCACCTCTTCCTCTCAGCCCTCTCGGCTTGCTGTAGTTGTTTTATGAAAAATCCCCAACATACTCCCACAGTAAGAAGGGATCCCGCAGCACCGGCGCTCACCTCTTCCTCTCAGCCCTCTCGGCTTCCTCCTTTGCTCTCCGTGCTTCCATCTCAGCCCCCTTAACTCTCTCCTCCTCCTCCGCATCCCCCCCACCCGAGTGACGCCTCACAACCCTACCCATTGCAAAAGCAAAGCACCAGCCATGGCATTCGCTCACCTCTTCCTCTCAGCCCTCTCGGCTTCCTCCTTGGCTCTCCGCGCCTCCATCTCAGCCCCCTTAACTCTCTCCTCCTCCTCCGCATCTCCCTCTGCTTTTGAGTCGACTCAGAAGTTAGCTCACCTCTTTCTCTCGGCCCTCTCGGCTTCCTCCTTGGCTCTCCGTGCCTCCATCTCAGCCCCCTTAACTCTCTCCTCCTCCTCCGCATCTTCCTCCGCCACTTTACAGCTAGAATCGACTTTCTTCCGTTCTTCCTCCTTCCTCACTCCCCCTTTGGTAGTTTCCTTGTCATTTCCTGCTCCCTTCCCGTCCCTCCCCCCTTCGCCACTCAGATTAGTCCGCTTCCGCGCATCATCCTTCCGCGGATCGTCCTTCCGCGCGTTTTCTTTCCGCGCGCGGGACGGGGAACGGCGGGAAGGGGAGGGGGAGCGGGAGCGCCTGCGCGGGGCGGGGGAGCGCGAGCGACTGCGACTCAATTCCCGACGGCTGCTCCTGCGCCCGCTATCCCCCTTCCGCCCGCCCTCCAGCTTCCGCTCATCTCCCCCCCTCTTCCCCCCTTCCCGCCCCTTGTCGCGGCGGCGGGGGGAGGGGGATCTGCTGCGCCGTCCTCTGGCCAATCAGCAACGAGGATGTTTCCAAGGTGTGCGAAAATCACGGAAATCGCAGCACCCGCAGCAGGATGGGCGCGAAGCGTTGGGAGCGCAGCGAGAGCACGGGCGAGAGAGGGGACGAGAGGAAGAATGGGGGTGGGTGGTAGGACGAAATGTTAGTGCGGATACGGTGGGAATGGGGGTCTCTTATGTGCTAGCATGGCACTTAACTAAAAGTGGCCCAGCTTAAGGTGATGGAGGAGGAAGATGGGAAAGGGGAGCACAGGGTGGAAAGAAGTTGAGAGGAGGATGAGTGGAGCACTAAGTACCGTCCGAAGGCGTACGATGACAGGAGGGTGGCTTCGTGCTGCATGGAAAAACAGCCCTTGAAGGTGGCAGGAGGCCGGCGACGGAAAGAGATTTGCTCTTACAGGGACGCGGCGCCAGAAGGGTTTTGAGGCGCCTGTAATAACGTCTCTTACAGGCGAGCTGCAGAGGGGTGGGGGTCTGCACCGTTCAAGTAATGGCCAGGCGCGGACCCTAGCGGATAGCGGGGACCATTATAACGAGTATCATACTGGGGTTCATGCTGGGTAGGTTGAGAGATAGCACCCGACACGGGGTGATAACAACGCGGAGAAAAACGTCTTGTATCGAGTCCTGGAGAAGCTGGTAGAGAGGCCGAAAGTGTACGGTCAACACAGAGTGAGCATGTGCACGGAAACAGATAAGGTATTAATGCTCTCTGCAAGAAAATCGTCCAATAATAGCATCCTCCAGTAAGTAATATTCGCCTGGCGATAAGGAGTGCCAAGCATGTGCGATCCACGATTCGTTAGCGTGAGAAGGCATGTCAGGGTTCCAACCTGCCAACAGGCGATCGGCTCCGGCTTCGACGGTTCCTTCGATCGTCCCTTCTGTCATCTCGTCGATCCACCCTCTTTTCCTGTCTCCGGTCCTCCTTCCGTTCCTCCCTCCGGTCGTCCCTCCTGTCCTCTCTCCGATCGTCCCTCCGATCCTTGCGAGCCAACGAGGAGCGAGGAGGAGGAGACCGCGAGAGAGATCGCGATTTGGACCGGGTCGGAGTGGGAGATCGACGGCTACGCTTCCTTACAGGCGATCTCGAGCCTCGTCGACCCATTCCGACTGATATATTTCCGTCAAGCCTTTATCTCTGCGTGTTGTTTTACTGCGCGATTCCGTCTACCAAGGAGAGAAACAACGTGAAGAAGTAGCCGTTACTGGTCGTCAGCATGAAATGCCGGGGGATTGGGTAACAGCCATGAGGGAAGTAAACCTTCCATCTGGCTGGAGTGTGTTGATGGAGTTCGAAAAACCCCGTTTACCGCACTCAACCGATCTGTTATTCACCGCACCGTCTATCACCCATTCCGATATGCAAACTTGGGGTTTGAACAGGAAACCATTTGAAGTGGGATGACGTTGTGGCCAGCGGGAACTCCATACAAGGAAATCGAACCGTTGGTTATTGCCACACCCTAAAATGGTACTTCTGCTTTGTTTATGAATGAATGATAGAATGAAGCTTCATAATACACATCACTTAATTGTGAAATGAGAAAACGATACCAAATGCAAGAGGCTAAATCAAATCACACGAAACCGTGCGATAACATCACGCATGATGCAGTAAAAAACAGGAAACGCTATACATGACAGTATAAAGTCGATTTAATGTACAGAAAAAGAACACTGTACTGCCGAAAAGATTGTATTGAATCTCACCAATCACGGAGTACCACGCATCCTCCCCTCACCAAAAGTTGCACCAAGCAGTTTCAACCACAAGGGCTGGCGATTGAGATATTGACAGAATTACGTGACGTGGACTGCTTCTGGAAGGTATCCGTTGATGGTTGCTGCTGACTTGTTGACGTGTCAAACCTCGATGCTGCCTTTCTGAGCCGTTGCTTGAGCACCGAAGAGCCACCATTTTTTGTCGGTAGTGAATCTGCTCTTGTGGTCGAACCGTCAGGCTGGCTCACTACTGCATGGGGCAGGCGAAAGGTATGTGTCGGTGAGGGGGTTGGATTGGGTAGGTTTGGGCTGATATGGGACCAACATCTGCACCAGGACTAATTTTTCGTTTTTTCCAAGACCCAGCGGGCTCAGGATTCGCGTCACTGAAGACCCTGAAAAATCAGCATTCCCTGGGAAATCTCTCTTTATTTGAGGATCACTTTGAACTTTAAGCCTGAAATTCAGAGCGTTTTGGGCAGTACAAATCAGTAGAACCTTTGGGCAGGTCGAGAAAGCAGGAAGGACAATGATGAAAGAAACGATGGAAGAGAATGCAGAACACTTCCTTCCTGCTGCTGCTGTCCCTCACCAATACACTAAGCTCGACACTTTGCTTGTCCGTCGCGACAGAAATGCGTTGAACTTAGTGAGAGTGACAATGCGCAACTTGGCTGAAATGGTATTATGAGGGTGTGATTAGTCTGACCTCCCTGCGCTTCCGGGGCTGTGAAAGTTCCACAGGTCGCACCTTCAGATTGCGTGGAAATTTGGTCAGGGGTGGGGTTGCAATTCCGGCACGGGTGTTTTGGGGTACCATTCGGATAGCCAGGACAGATTTTCGCACAAACCGGACTGCTCAGGGAGTTCCTTGGAAACGTCCGGAATCAGTCAGGAGGTTTGGGAGGCCGAAATCCTCAAAATCAGGATCTCAGCGGGAAAGACCCGGAATGTACCTGACATTACGGATGTTTACCTTTGAACCGAGAGCCCCAATCTGCACTTACCACACATCATTCTCAATGTTTTGCAATGATTCCATTTCCTCCTTTTCCTCGGTCAGTTTTGCGCTGTCCTCACCACAGCCTTTCTTGGCCTCTTGTTGAGTTGAAATCAGATCCCCTCACACACAGGCTGTCAAGGCAAGGGCAAGGCCCAGAAAGAACCGCTCGTCATATCTCCTCCTCTTCCACACCCCTTCCTCCCTTCCCCGGCAACCAACCAATGCCCTCCTATTGATACTGTTCTCTATTCTCGGGGCCGTGTCCAAAGTGGGATGTCGACGGATGTCGTCTACTTCTGTCGGCATCCGACGTAGTTTCGGTACGTTTGTGTAAGTTTTTAAAACGGTACAAACGTTTTTCAAATCGGTTCTGTATAAGATCCGGGATCTTGACGGATGTCGTAGGAAGTCTCTGGGCACTTTGAACACTGCCTGATGGAGCTACCCTTCCCTTGATATTGCCGAACCCTCCACCACTGGTTCTTCTCCTGCCAGCTCTGCTCCACCGCACAGTGCTGAGTCTGGCGGTGGTGTGCATGTTGTTCCCCACGGAGCGTCTCTGTCCAAGCTTTTAGAGCTTCTGGTTGCGAAAAGAAGAACTGAGGAAGTCGGGGGGGTCATAGGCGCTGTGAGGAGAAGGCGAAGATCGTCCCTCCCCCACCCTCTTCGCCTGAGACGTTGGAGCCAATCACCAGAGCGATTGCCAACATCTCAGGAGTCAGAAGGTGCCTGTTTCGTGATCAGCAGTCACTGAGCAGCACTTTAATCGACGAGGCCGTACTCTGTATCTCCTAAAGCCCACCATCTAGCTTGCGACTACGTTTCATCCTCCGATATCTTGTGAAGTCGCGCGTGTCGCAGTTGCATAGCCAGGGCACAGTTTTCTTCTCGTTTCCGCGAGCACATCCTGTAGACTGCGGCGTTTGTGACCAAAATCCCGCACCGTGCGTCCCCTTTCTTAGAACCATTAGCGAAAGATATTATTCTGAACGAGGCTTCTGTTCCGCGCGCCGCACATCGCGACGACGATGGTGGACGACGAGATTCTCTTCCCCGGCCACATCGACATGGGTGACATGGCGGACCTCATGGTCGGCGATGCTGACCTGGACGGCTTCTCTGACGACGAGTTCGACGTGGACGAATTAGAACGCCGCATGTGGAAGGACCGCCTCAAACTGAAGCGGATTAAGGACTGCCAGAAGATTAAGGACGCTCCGGAAACCGCGGCGGAAGATGCGGAGGATAAGGACGGGGAGGAGGAGGAGGAGTTTAAGCCGAGGCAGAAGCAGTCGCAGCAGGATCAGGCGCGCCGGAAAAAGATGTCGCGAGCGCACGACGGGATTCTGAAATACATGCTGAAGATGATGGAAGTCTGCAAGGCCCAGGTACGCGTTATTGTCTGTTCCGCGAAACGATGCTAGCATCTGCGTTTTCGTCAACCTCTCTAGCTCGGTGTATCTCGCAGTGCATTAACTCGTTCCCCTCTTTTTTCGTACTTTCCGTTTGGCCTTTCGCGAAACCCCGTGTGCGTGTTACAGGGTTTCGTGTACGGGATCATCCCGGAGAAGGGCAAGCCGGTGGGTGGCAGCTCCGACAACCTGCGCGCGTGGTGGAAGGACCAGGTGCGCTTCGACCGCAACGGGCCCGCCGCCATCGCGCGCTACAACGCGGAGCAGGCTGCAGCGGCCGGCAAGAAGGACCTCCAGCCGGCCGGCCTGCTACAGCTGACGACGCCGCACACGCTACAGGAGCTACAGGATACGACACTCGGTTCGCTGTTATCCGCGTTAATGCAACACTGCGATCCTCCCCAAAGGAGGTATCCGTTGGAGAAGGGGAATCCGCCGCCCTGGTGGCCGAGCGGGGACGAGGATTGGTGGCCGCAGATCGGCATGCCACGTGGCAGCGGCCCGCCTCCTTATAAGAAGCCTCACGATTTGAAAAAGGCTTGGAAGGTCGGGGTGCTGACGTCAGTGATCAAGCATCTGTCGCCGGATGTCGCACGGATTCGCAAGCTCGTGCGACAGAGCAAGTGCCTGCAGGACAAGATGACGGCGCGAGAGAGTGCCACGTGGCTTGCCGTGCTGGACCAGGAGGAGGCGACGCTGCTGAAGGCGCAGGGGAAGCCGCTTCCGCCGGATGCGGCGGAGTACGACCCGTTCCGCGTCGACCTGCCGCCCTTCATCGCCGCGAATGGCGCCGTGGGATGCGGGGACTATCTCGCGGGAGCGCTGCAGGCCCTGCAGCAGCAGCAGCAGCGGAACGGGGGGGGGGAAGAAGCGGCTGCGGGGAAACCGCCCGCCGCCGGCGTCGGCAGGAAGCCCGCCGCCATGAAAGCGGAGCCGCAGGCGTGGCTGCCGGCGGCGGCGAGTCGCTTTCCCGCAACTGCCGCCGCCACTAACGCCACCGCGGCGGGCCAGGCTCTGGGGAATGCGGAGAAGGCGCAGGCGCAAGGGGAAGGAAGTGGTGGTGCTGCCGGGATTTCCGGAGGCGGCGATTGCGGGGACGCTGACGTGGCACCGCCGATTGAGGCGGTGCTTGCGGGGGTGGAGCTGCTGCCCGAGCACAGAGTTTTCATGTGCCCGTTCGACCGCTGCCCGCGGCACTTATGGCGGAACGCGTTTTCCGACCGCGCCTCGCGCAACCTGCATCAAGCGAGCTGCGCCTTCCGCCTGAGCAGCAAGGGGGAAGGGGACTCCGCCGGCTCCGCGGGCGCCAGCGGTGGCGCAAGCGGCGGAAAGAGCGCTGACGCTAGCGGAAGGAACGCAATTTCCGCCGCCGCCGCCGCCGTAACCCCTGCTGCTGGCGCTGGCGCTCCTGTTACTGGTGCTGGTGCTGGTGTTGGTCTGGGTGCTGGTGCTGGTGCGGGTACTCTTCCTCCTGCAAAGGTTTCGACTGTCGGAGCTACGAAGAAGGCAGCAGCTGGAGGCGCGCCTGCTCCTCCCACGTCAGCAGTATCTTCCGCCCCACCGGCAACGGCCGCGAAAGCATCCGGTGGTAGCAGCAAGGCGAGAAATGCCGCCGCTGCCGCATCCGCCGCCGCATCCGCCGCCGCGTCTGCCGCTGCTGCTGGTAACGCCACCTCGGCCTCTACCATGTTCGCGGGAAGCTTCCTCCCGCACATGCCACGTCAGCATCTGGGCGCCCCTGACGGCGTGGCGCCTTTCCTGCCGCCCCACCACCAGCACCACCTGCGCCACGCGTCCCTGCTTCGGCAGGGAAGCTTCCCGGGAGATTCCTACCACCCGGGGGGCCCTGGAAATATGATGGGGATGGGGGCTATCCCCCCCCCTCATCCTTCGATCATGGGCCCTCCCCCTCCCGCCCCCCCGCTTCCTTATCCCGCGGCTCTGGGCCTGCCAGCTCATACCACGGGGTATGCTGACGTGTACGGGGGTATGTACGCCCATGGGCATATGATGGGGATGGCAGGGGGACATGTGGGCATGGGGGCCCCGCATGGGATGGGGCCGTATGGCATGCCGCCCCCGCCGCACCACTATGCTAGCATGATGATGGCCGCCGCTGCTGCTGCCGCCGCTGCTAATGGTGCTGCTGGTGCTAATGGTGCTGCTGGTGCTAATGGCGCTGGCGGTGGTGGTGGTGGTGGTGCTGCTGGTTCTGGTGGGAGGGGTATGGTGCGGCCTGGTGGCGCTGCTGCTGCTGCTGCTGCTGCATCTGGTGCGGTGGGTGCGCAGGTGTATCGAGAAGTGATGCTGCAGGGGCAGGCGATGCAACAGCAGGGGCGCAAGGAAGCAAAGCAGCAGCATCAGCAACGGCAGGTGATTGCTTTGGAGGGGAGAGACGATTCGCAGGAGCAGAGGGAGCAAGATGAGGGCAGCAGCAACCTGCAAATGACTACAGCAGCACCAGCAGCAGGCAATGCTCGCAGTGCAAATCCGCTGGCCCGGGTCACTGCTGCGTCTCTCCCTCCCTTCCGCCGCAACTTCAGTGATCAGAATCTTCCGTTGTACGCGGGTACTGGTAGCCTATCAGGGAGAAGCAATCTCAGCAGGCTTCCATCCCAGCAGCAGCAGCAGCAGCAGCAAGAGCAGCAGCGAGAGCAGCATTCAATGTTCCAGGAGCTATCCGCAGCAATGGCTGCTGTGGGCACCGGTGCTGCCGCTGCTGATGGTGCCGGTGGCTCTATCGGTTCTGCTGCTTCTGGTGGTTTTGGCTCTGCCGTTTCTGGAGGAGCTTTGGTCGGGGCGAAACGCCGGGCGCTATCGGACGCTGAGACAGTGCTGGCCAACAACCCGGACTTCTTCGCCTCTGTTCTCGAAGATTCACCGAACCTGGACGGCGGCATGATTCACCTGGAGAGTCTGCTGCACCACCAGCAGGACCAGCAGCAGCATCAGCATCAGCAGCAGCAGCAGCACCAGCAGCAGCAGCAGCTGAGCCTGGGGTCACTGCATGAGACGGTTACTGATGAGGGGATAAATGGGGTAGGAGTAGTAGGAGGAGGTATGGCTGCCGGTGGTGCCGATGCTGTGGGTGCCACTGCGAATGCTGGTGCCAGTGCTAGTGGTGGGGTCACAGGGGGAGGTGATGCTGGGATAGGCTTGGCCACTGTGAATGTCGAGGGCACTGATGGTGGGGGTATGGTGCAGGGAGGGGGGGGTCTGACGGCCACTGTGCAGGGAGGGGGGGGTCTGACGGCGATGGAGCAGGACGAGGAGGAGAGCCTGTTTGGGTTCAGCTTTGGGGTGATGGGCAACCAGCACGACCAGATGCGGCTGCTCAACAACCTCATGGATGAGGAGCTGTGCTACTTCGGAGCATAAGAGCTGTGCTCTGTGGGTGCACATGCGGATCACATGTGGAGGGGTGCTCTGCTGTCAGCAACCAGCACGACCAGATGCGGCTACTGAATGATTTGATGTATGAGGAGCTGTGCTACTTTGGAGCTCGAGGAAGAGGGGTGATGTGGATCTCCTGCGCTGCGATTGGCAACCAGCACGGCCAGATGCGGCTGCTGAACAGCCTCGCGGACGAGGAACTGTGCTACTTCGGAGCTTAGGAAGGGGGGTAGCATGTTGGAAGGTGTTTTTTGCACCGCTATGGGCAACCACCATGACCAGGCGAGGCTGCTGAACAACCTCTTGGATGAGGAATTTTGCTACTTGATTGTCCGACGAAAGAGTGGTCCAACGAAAAGCACATTCATTATTTGTTATGCAAATATATTGAATCAGATGTTATCTTTGTTCGTTGTCGTTACCAGGGCTGACGTTTCAAAAAAAGGCACTCTGAGCTGACCCCCCCAAAAAAAAAAATAGTCTGAATGGCCTTCAGCCAGAATTTAGGGACTCTGAAATGTCAGAGTCCAGAGATGTGCAACTCTGAAATTCTCAGGATCGCACAAGTGTACTCAGGGTTACATTTTATGTTATTAAGAAAAGCTATTCTTGTGTATTACATTTTGCTACATTGGACAGGAGCCTATCTACAACTACTACTACCAAACCAAGCAATCACCACTAGCTAACAGGCACCTAGAACTCTGGCACATCTACAGTAATCTCATCATCACCCCCCTCATCGTCGGACAGGAAAGGGTCGTCGCCTAATGTTGGAGCCGCATCATTCTCATCATCACCCCCATCCTCCTCAGCCCACCCCTCCCCCGCGTACTCTGGCACCTCCCCCTGTCCATCCGTTGTGTCCCCCGCCACCTCACCCTCTAGGGCCTTCCCCTTGCGTTTTCGTTCCGCTCTTGCGAAGACAACAGATCGTGCTGGCCGTCTCAGCTTCTCTCGCCAGGTCGCTAGGGCTTCGGTCCAATTGATGTCATACTGCAGCAGCGAGATGGCCATCAACTCGGAGAGGCGCGCGTTGCAGAGTGAGCCACGGACCCAGGACTTAATCACATTCTGCCGAGAGAAGCCCCTCTCACATTCGACGGTTGACAAAGGCAGCACGGCGCAGGCCTGCCAGAGGCGCATCAGATTGGGCCAGCGCCTGACACGGGGCACAAAAACAGAGGCGGAAGAAAGGCAGTAGGAAATGCATACAGTGAAGGCGGATAACAAAAAGATGCGGTTGGCAAGGGCGGCGATGTTGTGCACACTTGGCAAGTAGAATGGAAGGTGGTGATTCAGAAACGACAATATGGTTGGACTTGCCTGCTCGAGTCCGTCTTCGTGAGGTAGTTTGCCAGGCCTTGGTGGAAACTCTCCACCTCGTGATGATTCTGCATGATCGGCGCCCAAGTTGCGAGCTCCCTCTCCGCTGCCTTCACGTCGAAGCCTGGCAGCTTGTGCTCGAAGATGCCGCTGCATCCAAGCAGATACTCTCTCGTCTTCTTCTCGCGCTGCGCCCGTTGTCTCGGCCACTTCGCCGCCACCCAGAGCTTCGTCGGCGACATCTTGCGCAGATCCAGCATCCGCTCTTGTACGTTGGTCATGGTATCCTTGGCGTGCTTCTGGCACAGCTGCACGCAGTCCTTGTAGCTGCTCCCGTACTGGTGCTTGTCGAGGTGCCGCTCGTGCATCTTGTACGTATGGGTGACGGGGTTCCCCTCCAAGTCGATACCGCGCACCTTCACCCGCTTCGTTCCGCCGCGCCCGTACACCGCGAGGAACGCCGAGAGCCACGTGTTTTCGGCGCCGACACCGAAAATCTCCCCGAAGTCGACATAGCGGTGCCGCAGATCCCCCAGTGTCGCGTCGATGTCCGTTGCCACCTCTGTGACATCGACCTGCGGTGTGAGAGGGGGGGGACACAGAGGAGTGAAAGACATGAGTACTTGCACCAGAGGAGAACACCATGCTTGCAAACATGAGCATCTTACCTCTCGCTTCTGAAACTTGAGGTTGAGGTCGTTCATGAGTGCCAGCATGTCGGCCAGGTAGAAGAGGCAAAACTGAAACTTATACGAAATCACAACCTCATACAGGGGATGCTCATACTCATACAGCAGAACAATCGCAGCACCCAACACTTTACACAGGCGTCGGATTGCCTCTCCCCTGGACAACCATCGAACTTGATGGATGCCTTGAACCTCAAGGTTGGTGCTGTGAATCGCCCGCTGCAGATGCTTGAAACGACTGCTCCATACGCTCGACCGGCCGAGAAGGTCCGCAAGGGTGCGAGTGACTTTGTCGACCATGTCGAGGTCTGGACATGAAGCTGCAGCATCCTTCACAGCAAGTGCTTCTCTGCATGTACCGACATGGGTAGTGGTTAGCACACAGAAACATAAGAAGCATAAACACACAGCAAGGAATACTTTAACAAACCTGTGGGCGATGCAGTGGGAGGAAAAAAGGTGCGGGATGATGTCTCGCAGTCGCGCCACAAGCCCGTTGTCTCGGCCGACCATCACCGACGCGCCGTCTGTGCTGATGCCAACGATGCGTTGGAGGTCGATGCCGGACGACTCTAGGTGGGCTAAGAGAGTGGCCATAAGAGAAGCGGCGTCGCACTTGTCAACGTTTAGCAGGGCTAGGAATTCGGTGACGACTCGACGCAGCCGCATGAATGTGATGTAGACGATCAAGTGCTTTCCCCGCGTGCGGTCGGTGCTTTCGTCGCATGAGATGCCGAGGTAAGGTGAGCTCTTGATGTGCTCCATCTGAGTAGCCAGCAGATTCGTAGAGAGACAGTTGACCATCTGCTGGAACCCGTACCTGCAGTGGCATAATCAGAAGTGAGACACTGGTTAATTAGCATTGGAAATGCATTGAAATTTACAAGGTTCATATCAAAATCCAACCATCAACCGGCGAAAGCCAGGTAGCCTTACCTGGTGAGATACACTCCGTACGACTGGAGAGGTATGTCTGGTGTGTCTTGCTCTGCCATGAAACGAAGCAGCCGGGGAAACATGGCGATAGGAGCGTCGTTCTTGCAAAGAAATTCCACGCACCGCAAAAGACGGATGACGCGGCGGCCTTCGACATCGACGGTGGCGAAGCTTGTCATCTTCTGCTGCTTGTCTTCAATTTCCTTTTGAATCTCGAGCTGCCGGCGAACTGCCGCTTCGTGGACTGTTGAGTGTTCATGAATGCGCATCGTCTGTGTCTGGAGATCTCACCCGCCGTCGCCTGGCCTTGAATACTTCGTCGTTTCTTTGCCGAAGGCTCGGCAAACGCTGCACTTAAGAGCGGGGTAGCCATCTTTACTACGGGTAAGTACAAGCCATGGGAAATAACGCAGCCAATCATTCTTATACTTAGCCTCCGCGACTAGGTACTTCTGCTCGATCAATTCCTCTGTACTTAGCCTCGGTGGCGGCGGTTCATCAGGGCGGGTGACGGGGGTAGGTGAGCGCGGTGGTGAGGGAGGGCGAATCTGGCCACCTGAGTTGATACGCTGCTGTGTATACTTCGTCGTACGTTGTTTCTTCGCCGAAGAGACAGTCGATGCGCACGGCACACTATAACGAACGGTAGAGGCAGTGGCGCAGTCAATAGGATCCACTGGTCCTCTGCTAGAAGATGCTATGGCTGGTGGGAGAACGAACGGAGCGGGGGCAGGTCTACTAGGCAACGATGGCTCATCGCGTGGGGTCTCGTTTACAACGGTTATGGCGACAAAAGGCGGAGGAGCCGATGCGGCAACGGGCCGCAAGACATCTAGGGCGCTCCTTGGCGCAACGACAGGAACCTTACTGCTGCGCGGCTCATCACCGTCAGCTGGAGCATCGTCGTCGCCATCCTTTTCAGGCATGGCGAGAGGAGAAACGACGTGTAGGAAATGAAGATAGTGACTACAACTACGTCTGTGTCGAAATGAACAACATGAAGGATTTCCCCTCTAAAACCTGAAGCAGTGCGTTCGAAGGTGGTGGGTAAGGAACAACTGGAGAAGAAGGGGTCCATCAAACCCGTGTCGCACCTTTCTTGAAAGGCGTGACGCGGTTTCGGGACTTGTCCATGCACAACACAGCGCCATGCTGCCTAGTCGATGTGTTGGCTGCAACTGCAGCCAATGGGGATGATGGCCAACCTCTGCAAGGCTGGCACAGAGGGCACGGGCCCGAAGTTCGCGCATGCACAGAGAGCAACAGAGCAGAATCTGTGGTCCTTAGTGGCTCGGCGTGGCAGCATTTTTGCTGCGCTGGGTAGCAGAGTGCCCACTGTGGGCAGAGTATTCATTGGACTTGGCGGATTTTTCAAGGAAGTGTGGATTCTCCACGTGACGCGGGCGGGAATCACTGATGGCATGCGAAATTTCTAGGGATCTTGCGTGCCCCGTGGAAATCTGTTTCAGGGTTCGTACCCGATGTACTCTGAAAACTCAGTATTGGGTTAGCGTGAACTCTGATTTTTTCAGGATCCCTAAAGTCTAAGTCTGAATCGATCAGGATTGGGAAAATGCCTTATCTGGAAATTCAGGTTTAGCCAAAAAACCGGTCTGAGATTTCAGACTAATCAGAGTAAATAGTCTGATAAAGTCAGCACTGGTCGTTACACATCCAAGTTTTAACTTCATGCTTGTGGTATGGCACAAAGCATACGTGCGCTTGCCTAAGTTTCCGCCGTGCCTTGACTCTGTCCGTCAGCATTGAAAACTGTTGAGCTGAGAAAAAGCCCTTAGGATCCTTCAGAGACTAAGTCCCAGTTGTATAAGATACTTGAGTATGTCAACTTATACATATTATCTATGTAGAAGTTATAGGCTAGACTGAGGTATGCTTCTAGTGAGTACAACCAACTAGTATTTGTTCTAGGTTTCCACCTCTAGTAATCATTCGTTTCTACGTTAACATGGTATCACGCTTAGGTTAGGATCCCCCCGCCTACCGCTTCCGCCCGTCGCGCCTCCTAGGCCCCGTCGCGCCCCCTAGGCCCCGTCGCGCCCCCCCTGGGCCCCGTCGCGCTCGTTAGGCCCCGTCGCGCCCCTCCTGGGCCCCGTCGTGCCCGCTGGGCCCCGTCGCGCCTCCTAGGCCCCGTCGCGCTCCCCCTGGGCCCCGTCGCGCCCGCTGGGCCCCGTCGCGACCCCTAGGCCCTAACGCGCCCCCGCTGGGCCCCGTTGCGCCTCCTAGGCCCCGTCGCGCCCCCCATGGGCCCCGTCGAGCCCGCTGAGCCCCGTCGTGCCTCCTAGGCATCGTCGCGCCTCCTAAGCCCCGTCGCGTCCCCCCCCTCTGGGCCCCGTCGCGCCCGTTCGGCCCCGTCGCGCCCCTCCTAGGCCCCGTCGCGCCCGCTGGGCCCCTTCGCGCTTCCTAGGCCCCGTCGCGCCTTCTAGGCCCCG